ATATCCCTTTAACTAAAATGGCTGCTTTTTAGCAATCTTATAAAAATCATCAGAATGCTCTTTTTAGTTTATCTATAATAATAAAAGTGTAATATACAAATCGACCGAACGGCCGAACAGTGGGATGCCCGTCCGGACAACATTCCAGACAAAGCCGGGGTTGAGAAGGCCTACTCTTGCACGAATTTTGTGCATTGGGCCTCTAGGCAGATAATAAGCATGCAGTAAGTAGTTGGTGAATGATTAAACAAAGAATCTAGTACAGTAGCATAGATGAAATGTCAGTTTAATTCTGACCTTGGTTTTGAAGGGTAAGTGGAAATTTGTTAGAGTAGTTCAGGCAGGCATTCTAAGGTCTTATAAGTTCCTGTACTCAGACACCTAACTTGGCATTGCAGTTCCAGTGATGGGACTTCATGGCCCAGTGGTTCCAGAGAAAAATATTGAGTTCCTGCCCCCTGGGGAGGGTGACTAAGGCAGAGCCACACAAAATTCCTTTATGGTCAGTTTGAGAATGTGCTTTTCAGAGATGAGACTTGATTGAGGACCAAGTATAAACCCCTAGTCTTATTTCTTTTTCATGGAAGGTACTTAGCTAATGTTTCCTGTTTCCCTTTTTAAAGCCAGTGGAAAATGAGATAACCCACAGCCAACCAGAGGAAACTATCTGGAAAGGAGGGGAAGAGGTGGAAAACAAAACTTGGATCTTAGGTTGAATTTTCCAGCTTATATAAGAGACATGTCATTACATATTCATTGATTACTTGTTACATTTCTAGAAGGATATTATATCCAAAAGACACATAAAATCAAGTGAAAGAGGCAGAACTTAAACTTAGGACTTAAACTATCATTGGATAACAGTGACAAAGAACCTGTCAGTGCGCACAAAATAGTATGGACTAAAGGCCTTAGTATGGGAAGAATCTGATACATTCAGGGGGATCCAGGAGATTGGGTCACATAAAGACTGGTAGAATCTGGAACTCTTTAGAACAGGTGTCACTGCGCATTCTCAAAGAGCTGGGTTCTGTTGATGGGACTAATTCTGCCCCTAATCAATCGCAGTGGCAGGAGGAGCATGGCAACATGAGCAATGCTGGTGAGTCTCTGAGGGGGAGGGCTCCAGGGCTTTGAGTCCCCAAAAAAGGCAAATCACTCACCTTCCCACTCATTAATAGGTCTAAGTCACTCAGGGACACCACGAGTGGCTCTTAGTTATTCATGCTGTCTGTTTTCCTTTGTTCTGCTCTTGTTTTCCCCACTCCATCTTCCCCACCTTATGCCACCATATATTTGAGGACCTTATTCATAAGACAACTAAGTAAAATGCAGATCAGGCCATCATGTGTCATCCCTCCTCCAGGTAGAAGGCTAGCATGAGGTTTAGGATTAAGGGGTGGTGGAAGATGAGACTGGGAGGGAACCCAAAAGCCATATCTGGTGAAGCTCAGATACTATACTAAGGAGTTTGACTTTAGGACATTGAAGAGTCTTTGAAAGGTTTTAACAATAATAATATCAAAATATTATGGCGGTAGTGTGTGAAGAGTGCTTGGAAAGGAAAGAGCCTGGAGCTAGGGAGGTGATTTTAAGAAACAGATGGAGTAGTCTAGGTGACAGGTGACAAGGGCCTGAAATAAGGGAGTGATTTACTTTATGGATGGAGAAGAGAGGTCAGCTTCCAGGGATATGTAGGAGAAACCACAAGGCATGGTCCTTCATTGAATGTGAGAGTATTAGAGAGGGGGTTGGGGGAACAGAGCAAGAGAGGAATCAAAGGTGATTTTCAGGTTTCTGGTTTATGGTAGATCATTGGATAAGTTGTGGTTCCGGTAACAGAGATTGGAAATATGGGAAAAAGAGCAGGTTGGAATGAAAAAAAAAAAAAAAAAAAAGGTCAGATCAGCATTGAAAATATTGAGATGAAGGTGCTGGTGGATGCTTATGTAGAGATGTCACATAGCTCTTTGCACATTTAGAACTAGAAAAAGGGAAAGAAGTTTGGTCCAAAAACAGATTTTGGAATCATCCATATGGCACAGGATAAATAACTCAGGGAATGCTTATAAAAGGAAGATCAAAGGGCTGAGAAGGGAGAAAGAAAAACATGGATATAAATTCACAAATCAAACACTTGCCCCACAACCCCTCCTGGACTGTGGGCTCTCAGACACTACCCACGGTCACCACCACCTTTCAGAATGGCCAACAGGGGACCTTCCTGTGGCCTGAGCCAGGAGATGCGGCAGAAGATTGAGAAACAGTACAATGCAACCTGGAGCAGATCCTGATCCAGTGGATCACTGCCCAGTGTGGCAAGGATGTGGGCCAGCCCCAGCCCAGGCGTGAGAACATCCAGAATAGGCTCAGAGATGGCACACGGTGCTGTGTGAGCGCATTACCAGGCTGCATGTACCCTGAGGGGCTGGCCCAGTGACGAAGACCCAGGCTTTCTCCATGGCCTTCGAGTGGATGGAGCAGATGTCGCAGTTCCCGTCAGCAACCAAGGGCTACAGCATCTGTAGCACCGACATCTTCCAGACCGTGGACCTCTGGGAAGAAAAGAAATTGCCTGTGTGCGGAGGACACCGATGAAACTGGGTGGACTGGCAGTAGCCTGGGGTGATTTTCTCTGGGGATCCCAACTGGTTTTTAAGAAGTCCAAAAAGCCCTAACTGATTTGGCTCAGAGGATAGAGCGTCGGCCTGCAGACTCAAGGGTCCGAGGTTCGATTCCGGTCAAGGGCATGTACCTTGGTTGCAGGCACATACCCAGAAGGGAGTGTGCAGGAGGCAGCTGATCAATGTTTCAAACTCTCTATCTTTCTCCCTTCCTCTCTGTAAAAAAGCAATAAAATAAAAAATAAAATAAAAAAGAAGTCCAAGGAGACCTCTCAGAACTTATTGGACAACGAGCTGCAACAGGGCAAGAACGTGATTGGGTTATAGATGGGCATCTACCACAGGGCATCTCAGGCAGGCATGACTGGCTATGGGATGTCATACCAGTTCCTCTGATCCATCCTTAGCTCTGTTCCTGCCCTCTCTTGGATGGCATATTTTTATTTTATTTTATTTTATTTTATTTTATTTTATTGTTTGTTTATTTATTTATTTTTAGCAGTGACATTCCCTAGGAGCCTCTGGAACTCTCAGGTTCCCCTCAGCCAGGGTGGGGGCCTGGACTGGTGTGTCTCCTCTGGGGGTGCCCAGTGGCAGCCTTTCCCTTGTGCTTATTAATATGTTTCCTTCTCCAAATCACAAAACCTGGACCAACTGACCAAAATTTAGGGCCTTTTCCTTCTCCTTCAAACCTCTCCTCCTCAGATCTCCGTGTCTTCAATCCATTCCTTGGCTGGGCCTTTGGGCCTTCCTTCCACAAATAAGCCTCGCTCACAGCTGTGGCTGCAGGGACTTAATTTATAGGGAGGGGTCTGTGGCAGCTGCCACCCCTGCACAGCTGGACCAGGCCCTCCACACACTGAAGGAAGCCTCCCTGGCAGAGGCCCTCCTGGCCCCTCATTTTCCATTCCCTTCACTGTGGCTAAGGGGTGGTGTGAAGGGAGAGAGGAAGAAGGGCTTCCCACTATGGACTGGGGCTTGAAGTATCTGAATTTGCTGATTTAAATAAATAACCTCTGTGTTGTTGGTTTTTTTAATTACAACACTAGGTGGCCAAAAGAATTGATCTGTGGAACAGAGGGCAAGAACTGACATACTCTGCAACAATAGTGTTTGATTATCTGAGCTATTTCATTCTTATTATATGAAGACAATAATCATCAAATGTCATCAGGAAGAGTTATGGAAGTCTTGTTTAGTTTTCTTATATGATCTTATATGATCACTAGAGGCCCGATGCACAAAATTTGTGCAAGGGGCTTGGCCCTTGCAGCCCCAGCTGCCTGGACCCTCGCAACCCCAGCTTCATCTGGAAGGTTGTCCATATGGTCGTTCTGCTGTTTGGTCTAATTAGCATAATAGCTCTTTATTATATATGATAACTACACTTTAGTGGTGGTGAGTGGTACTTACTATTCACACCAGATGTTTAGACTGAGGGATAGGACTAATTATAGTATATAGGTTGCTTATTTTATAAGTCTTCTATTATAAACTTTAGGTATGATGGGCAAATGTAGGAACATTGATAGAACAATTAGTTTATTATTCACTAGTTGAGCATTGTGTTCTAAGAGCAGAGGTAGTGAATTAAAGTTAACCTACAGGGGTCACCTAGCCCATCTGTGGTCTCGATGGCTTGACTTTGTAATATTCAACCTTTATTGCCTCAGATGAACTTGTACAGTGCAGTGATCAAGCCTGAGGAGAATGAAAATATTATGTATGACCAGATCAATATTTAGAAAAGCTCTTGTTGGGTTTAATGTTGAGCCCAACCCAGGAAGTTATGTGTTGACTGGAATAAATGTAGATTCTTGCCCTTGGTTTCTGAAAAGTGACTGAATGAATAAGCGATGGGGGAGTTAATAGTGAAATGAGAGAGCGCCCAAAGCTAACCCCACTTCCGGCCACACTAATAAAACATGCAACATGGACAACAGTTGTCTGCTTTCTCCCCTGGGGCGAGTGCAGACTGGTTGAGTTGTGCTAAATATTCCAACCAACAAAAGAGGAACCAGATTGCAAGGAGGCAGATGAAGAATTGCTTAATGACTAGCAAGGGAGGTTGGAGATAAACAGACGGTTGTGATGTCTTCATACATTTGAGGACACCGTCCCGCTGTAGAGGACTTAAATGAATTCTGTGAAGCTTCGGAGGGTAGAATTTCTGTGAATAGAAAGAAGATAAAGGAAGGCAGTGCATAGTAGGAAGAATCTTTCTAACCTGCTTCCTCTTTTCATAAATGGAATGGCAGCTCCGGGAGGCAGTGAGCTCCCCACAGCTGGGGGTGTGAAAGCAGAGGGATACTGTAGAGGAGAGTCCCGAAGATGGCAGGAAATAGCGTTGGATGACGCTGAGATTTGGTGATGTGAAATGTCCCATTCAGTTGCTTCATTTTCTCATCCTGAGTACAATTCTGGTTCATGAGTGTGTTTGTTTTTTCCCCCCATATAGAGATAATCTGTTCTACAAATCTCATAATTCTGCTGGAGGATGAAATCTTTGCTGATTTTTTCAACACATTTCTTTCTCTCCCGGTAAGTTTTCTCACTCGGACTTAAATCTGCATGTTTCATCAACAGACTAATAGTGAATCTCACTGAGACATATGCCTTAAAACACACACACAAACACACACACACACACACACACACACACACACACACACACAAAAGTATCAAATAAAAACTTCTCAATTTGAGCAAGTAAATATGAATTAGAATTTCCTCTAACATATCCAGGAGCTTCCCATCATTGATATAATCTAATCCTAAGTCCCCACCTCCTTCATTGCCTTTACCTGCCCGTCACACCCTCTGTTGGTACCCAGTAGTCTACCCAAAGGAGCATCCCTAGTATTCTTCCTCCTCTGCGCCTCTGCGTAGTTTCTGTAGTTCCACCTACCAGAGTTTTAACCACTTTTCAAATATCTACTTACATCCTGTCCTCCTTAAGGAATTCCCAGGCCCTTCCAATGGGACTTATTTTCCCTGCTTCTGTGCCCCTTAGCACTTAGCAACTAATAAAATGTCCTAGTATCACTTCTGAAACCTTTCATGCCACCGGCAGAGGTAACAGTAAGCATGAGGATCACCCCAAAGACCTGCTCTTAGGATGTCTCTTTCTCTTTCCTCTTTTTACCATGTTGCTGGCACCACCATCCACTCAGGCAGCCAAACCTGTTACCCCAAAACTCCTCCCTTCTTGTTACCACCTCTCCCCAACGTTCAAACAGGGACAAGGCCTGGCATTTTGCCTTGTAAAAAAAATCTCTCCTATCTGCCCCATCCTTTTTACCTTTAGATCCTATCTCCTCTCATCTGGTTGCCTAGTTCACTGCTCCATGACAACAGAGAACAGTAGGCTAGAATTAGCTATCAATTTTACATGCTTAATGCCCCCATAAGTAATCTGTACCCCTAATCTTCACATCCTCGGTCCTTTCTACTTTCTCCAGCTCAAGAGTTCAGGCAAATCCAAAGCTGTTTCTCTTTATGAAAGACTTTAGGCCTTTCGCTTTCGCCAATTAGTACACAAAATACACAAAAGTTAATGCCTCTTAATATCTTGGGCTTTGGCCTTTGCACACAGGCATAATAACTCCCAGGTTGAAGCAGGGTGGAGCCAAAAGATAAACAAATCTTGTCTTTTAGACTACTTTGGGTGTTTTGGGGCAAGGCAAGTTGATTCAGTGGAGTACATATAAGGATGAATGTCCCCTGAAATAGGAAAGCAATGGGACTAGTTATAGCATACTAGAGGCCCGATGCACCAAGATTTGTGCAAGAATAGGCCTTCCTTCTCCTGACTGCCGGCGCCATCTTTGCTCAGGCCCGGCCTTTTGGCCTTTGTTTCAGCCTGGACTGCCTTTCCGCCTTCCCATGCTGCCCAGAGGCCCAGAACTGCTAGGGCAGTGCGGAATGGCAGTGACGCAAGCGTCCACCCGCCCCCATCCCCTCACACCCCTCCCCGGCTGCTTGGCATCTGAGTATGGAAATTAACCTGCCATCTTTATTATATTTGGGTTAATTTGCATACTCCTGATTGTCTAGTGGGCATCGCAAAGGTACAATTTGCATCTTTCTCTTTTATTAGTGTAGATAGGTTGTGAATTTTAGAAGTGTTCCATTATAAATTTTAAGTGTGATGGGCAAATGTAGGGACATGGATAGAACAATCAGCGTATTGTTCACTAGTTGAGCATTGTGCTCCCAGATGAGGCCAGTTGGCCCAGGTTCTGTGAGTTTGGAGAAGGAAATGTATTGTGCTCACCTCTTCCCCTGGGGTTGCAGATGCCCCATGACATGTTCGTGAGGAGAAGGTCTACCCCTTTGGCTGTTTCCTAGTTTTCTTTTGCAGGTTTTCGGTCAGACACCATTTTATACAGTTGAAAATGCACAGTGGAGCTTGTGTCCAGAAATACCTCATGACTTCGTGAGTAAGGGCCTTACTTCAGTGGCGGCGGTATTGGGGTGGGGGTTTGAGGGAGCTGAATTGGAAGTGAGGTTGGGAGAGGGAGAGGGAGAAAGGAAAGCAGGTGAGTAGAGCAAACAGTATCAAGCCAGTTAGACATTTCTCCTCTGTGCATTCTTATTACTTAGCCAAGAGGCTCTGCTGAGTTCTTTCTGTTATATTCCAGTCCATGGTTAGCAAATGGGACTTCATCCCTCATGCTCACTGTGACTGTTGGGTGGTAGATGCTTGAAGCACTGTGTTGAAAAGAACTTTGAGGCCACACCTAAGCCAGGAAGAGTGTGGGAATGGATTGGCAATGCCTGACGTGGGTGTGGGGTAGGCACTCACAGTCCATGGGCCACCTAGTAATTTGCACTCTAAGGTATAGCTCAAGGGAAGATGCCACTCTGCAATTCCTAATGCCTACTCTACCACTTTCCTCCAGAGAGTTGTCTCACTTTTTCCTCTTTATATCCTTTTTTCCTTGTTGTCATCCATTGTCTTTCTCTTTTCCTTCTCCCCTTTCCTGTTACTACAATAATATCCTTTTCCACCGTATAGATGTTAGACATACCAATGGCTTCCACGTGCCCTTCTGGCGGCAGGTAGTCTCAGAAAAGTCATCCTAATCCCTGCTCACAGCAAGGTTTTGTTTTCCCCCGGAATCTGGAGAGCTGGGAAAGGCACCCCACTCTGGTGGTTACATTTAGTATTCCTAGAACCCTGAAACTTAAACATTTTAGTTTTTTTCCTTCTTTCTCTGGTGGCTCCGTGTCTCAGGGATCCATCCTGTACTCTAAATGATGTTACATGTGAGTCTTTGTGTGTCTTTGTACACGTTATGCAGCTGATATGGGTTGGGAGCCTGCAAAATATTATAAATGTGCTTACAAAGAAGCACGTTGAATCGAGTTATGACTCAACACCAAAGACCAAAGTCTCTTCCGCTCCTCTCCTATCAAGCAAGACTTAGATCTTATTTCAAAATATGTCTTTTTATTGATTTCAGAGAGGAAGGAAGAGGGAGAGGGAAAGAAATAGAAACATCAATAGTGAGAGAGAATCATTAATCAGCTGCCTCCTGCATGACCCCCACTGGGGATTGAGGCTGAAACCGGGGCATGTGCACTGACCGGGAATCGAACTGTGACCCCCCTGTTTCATAGGTCAATGTTCAACCACTGAGCCACATCAGCTGGGTGACTTAGATCTATTTTTTAGAACAACTTTACCCACAGAGATTTCCCCCCCCTACCAATCCATTCACTCCTTAGGGAGCCTCAGTTCAAGTCTCCAGTTTCTTTAGGTTCTATTTTTAATCTCTGGGCCAGATTCAGCAAGTGTTAGGTTATTTGTTGCCCTTTTCTAAGATGCATTTCTTAGTAGTTCAGTTCCATTTCTCTTTTCTGTTCCTATTTTGTTTGGACTCTAGATTCCAAAGTACAAAGGATTATTGAGCTGGTTGGGAAAATACCGGTTACCTTTCTTCTGTAAAACCAACTTGTGTTTCCATTACATTCTCTGTCAAGAGCTCATCAGTTTCATTAATTCCCCAGAAGGAGGTAAGCATGAATGTGTAAGTATAGAGAAATATGGGAAGCCAGGCTGCCTGTTAGTCCTATAGTAGCATACAAATAGTGACTATCTTTGTAGCCTTAGATGTACAGGTGGCTCAGTCTGTGTTGTGACCATAGGTAAAATCTTGTGTTGGAAAATTGTTACTTAGATCAATAAGCAGGAGTCTAATGGGTTGGCTATTGTCACACTACATTCATAAATGAGAGAATTAATGGTGGCCACAGAACATGACAAAATTGCCTAAACTATATGCAAAATCAAACATATCTCACCACCTTCATTGCCACCACCTGGTCTAAGCCACCATCTTTTCTCACCTGGCCACTGAAATCATCTTAGACTCCTTGCTTCTGCTTTTGCTCTGCTGCTCAAGGCAGTCAGTGTGAGCCTTTCAACATTTAATTCAGATTGTGTCATTCCTCTTCTTACTATCCACCACCCCTGCACCAATGGCTTCTTTCTCAGTGTGAAATCCAACACCCCTACGATGGCCTTCAAGGTCTGAGAGACCTGGCCTCATTTCCCTTCTGACCTCATCTCCTCCTACGCCCCTCCTCAGTCCCTCCATTTCCACCACATTGGCCCTCCTGCAGTTCCTTAAACATATTAGACATATTTCTCTTGCAAGGCTTTGCACTGTCTGTTCACTCTTCCTGGTATGCTCTTCCTCCATATCCACATAAGCTCCCACTCTCATCTCCTGGAATCTCTGGGAAGTTCTCACCTCCTCCATGAAGACCATAACATCCACTTGTCCAATCCCTAGCACTCCCAGCCCTTCTCTACTTTTTCATTTTTTCCTGTAGTGCTTCAACTTTTCCAGATAATGTACTTGTTCTACTGATTATTCATTGTCTGTCTCATTCACTAGATTTTAAGCTCCCTGAGTGCAGGGGTTTTTGTTGTTTGCTAATGTATCCCAAAACACCTAGAATGGTACTTGTCACTTAGTAGACATGTAGTAAATATTTGTTGAAAGAATTAATGAATAAAGCCTCCATCTAGGATTGAATTGGTAAATTTACTTTCAGCTCAACTAACCAAAGGAAATCAAATATGCTCCACCCAGGGAAGGTTAAGATTCAGGAGATACCATTGAGTAAAATGTTGTAACAAATCACTGCTATGCTCTCTCTCTCTCCTGCGATACACATATTGGGGAAATCAGATTGGTAGAATTACTCTCATGAGGGAAGGCAAAGGGCCTTGGTTGGCAGGCGTTTTTGATTTTGGATTGTATGTGTGCTTGTGGGTCTCTCACATATCACTTGATACATGTCAGTAGAGGGGCTGGTGTCTAGTTTCAAAAGCACCACATAATCAGGACCCAACTCATCTAACTATCTACCATTTCTCCTCTCTCATACTGAGCGAATGGGGGTCTGATCGTGCACGAGGCTGAGAGAAAGGAGCTGGGGACAGAGCTCACTCTCTCAACATGGACTTTTCCTGGCAGCCAAGATGATGAGATGGAAAAAGGCAGACCAGTGGCTACTCCAGAAATGCATTGGCGGGGTCAGAGGGATGTGGCGCTTCTGTACCTACCTCAAGGGCAGTGCAGGTGGGTTCTCGGAGTTCTTCCTGGGGCCTTCACAAGTTCTCAACAGTTTCTACAATAGGATGCCCCAGAGCACTTACTAACAGTTATGTGTGTCTGTGGTGAATATAAAAAATGATTTATAATGCAGTTTGAGTAAAGTCTTTTAAAACTGTAATTCATAGTGTAGGTTAGGGCAAACGCAATCAGTGTCCCTTTCACTCATTTGTTCATTCAACAATGGTGATTGAGCATCATTCTATGGCAGCCGCTGTTCTGATAGGTGGGGATACAAAGGTGAATGAGAGCTATATATCTCCACTTCATAAAGCTGCCACGATGGTGGGGAGACAGACAAGGAACAAGTAAACAAACAAATCCTTGTAGCACAAGTGTTAAAGTGCATTGATTTCTGCTCTATTGGGTCCAGTACTTAGTGGATGCTGGGAGGCCAACAGCTTGTACAGTTCAGTAATGTTAAGTTTTACCCAGGGAAAAGCCAGGGTGAAGTCTTGGGCCTCCAGGGAACATGGAGGGAAGAGCTATCATTCCGTTTGTCACAAGGATTTCAGCCCTGACAGTTACGAAACAGGGACCATAGTGTTTGGTACATTTTGGCCCAACTGTCCTTCTGCTAGCTACTCTGGGTTCATGACCTGGGAAATTTACTTTTCCCTCTGTCTTTATTTTTTTGGACCAAACTCAAATGTCTCATGATCCATCTTCAGAGTCGTGCTGTTTTTCTTAAAGTGAGAGTTTTTCTAACAATAAAAAAGTCACAAAAGATCCCTATCCATTAATTCCCTTCCTCCATGACTCCCATCTGCCCCCATACTAGGACATTTCTGGAGATGGTACTTTCATCCAGAGGAGTGGCTAATGGTGATGTTTGAGGCAGTAGAGCAGGTGGGTGGTATGGGGTATCAGCTGCCACAGCCTGATGCAACCATTGAAGGAGCAAGATTGGAGTGCCTCCCCTCTCTGGTCTGTAGGTGAAGAGCTGGTGGATTTCTGGATCCTTGCTGAGAAGATCCTGGGCATAGATGAGATGGACTTGGAATTGAGAGACCACTACCTGTCTCTCCTCCTTGTGCTGAAGGCCACCCATCTTCAGGAGGGCTCACGGGTAGTGACCCTCTGCAACATGAACATAAGTAAGAGCTATAAAGTTTTATCTGAAGTAAAATCCCTGGGAGATGTAACCAGAAAAACCAATCCAGTGTCTGATAGCCCTCAGTCTTTTGCTTTGCACACTGCCACCCTTTCCATGTTCTATGCATCAGGGATGCCAGTAGGAAACCCAACCCATAACAGGGGAGGGATGAGAGAGACCAGTTGTCCTTAGGCTGGTACTGGCCTTTTCTGAGCTATTACTTGCCAGTGATGTTTTGCTGGATTGAGTGAAAAGGAATTGGAACAAGGTAATTGCATAGTTCCTCTATCTTCTGAGCCTGCAGGGCTTGTCTTTGTTTCTTTCTTTTTTTCCCCTCTCTTTTTAAAATTAGGATTCTTTAGAATAAACTGCAGCCCATAGGCCAAGTGAAATACATGGGGCCTATGAACTAAGAATGTGTTCATATTTTTATTTTCTTTTTAAAAAAATATTTTTATTGATTTCAGAGAGGAAGAGATAGAAACATCAATGATGAGCGAGAATCATTGATTGGCTGCCTCCTGAACCCCCCCTATGGGGATCGAGCTTGCAACCCCAGCATGTGCCCTTAACCAGAATCAAACCTGGGACCTGTTAATCTGCAGGCTGATGCTCTATCCACTGAGCCACCAGCTAGGGCTGTTTTCATATTTCTAAAGTGTTAAAGAAGACAAGTGTGCAACGAAGGCTATAGGTGTCCCACAAAGCCTGAACAATTTACTAGCAGGTCCTTCACAGACAAAGCTGCCCGCCTCTTCTCTAGAACATCCAGATATCCATTCATTCATTTATTACTTGAGGCCTGTTGTACAAAGATTTATGTAAGAATAGGCCTGCCTTCCCCTGGCTTTGCTCCCAGCTGCTTGAGAGCCTGCAAGTCCTCGCTCCTGACTGGAGCGCTGCTCCTGTAGCTCCACCCCCACCCCTTGCTCTCCCTCATAGCAGGCATCCTGCCTGGCTGCTCCATGCCTGTGTATGCAAATTAACCCATCATCTTTGTTGTGTTAATTTGCATACTCACTCCTGACTGGCTGATGAGCATCACAGAGATGTGGTCAGTTTGCATATTTCTCTTTTATTGGTGTAGATTTATTTAGTGAGGAAGCATTGCTAACCCAAACACAAATGTGTTCCAGATTTGCTACTTGGGATTAGTCACACTACTCTTAATTCAGAGAAATAATTGAGAATTGATGGCATTAAAATCAGAGCTAATAAAGACTCCTTCAAATTATTGTCCAAAATCCTTCCTCCTTGTTAGATCTGATCCTGAGACATCCCATCCAGAGATACATGTTCTTACACAAGTGTTCATTTGATGTTCGCTTTTCTTTACAATAACATTCAGTAGTCTAAAATAGTGCTTGGCAATCTCATTAGTCAACAGAGCCAAATATCAGTACAATGATTGAAATTTCTTTTGAGAGCCGAAAACCAACTTCTACACATGGCCCACAAAGTTTTAATAGCACTGTACATGCACACCCGCACATGGTATTTTGTGGAAGAGCCACACTCAAGCGCCCAAAGAGCCGCATGTGGCTTGCGAGCTGCAGTTTGCCAACCATTGGTCTAAAAAATAACTTGAAGAATCTCATAGAATGATTTATTTATCTGGGGAAAAAGGAAGGTAATCAGAGACAGGGGTCACTGTGCTGAGCAAATCATAAAGACACATTCAGAATATATTTGACCTCTTCACATCCCTGGATTGCTTGAGGAACAATGAAATTCTAATCAAAAAACATTTGGAAAAGCTTCAAAAGCTCACCGGCATTTTCATCTTTCATCTCTCTGCCTTCTTTCCAGAGTCTCTCTTGAACCTCTCCATCTGGCATCCCAACCAGTCAACCACCAGGCGGGAGATCTTGAGCAACATGCAGAAAGTGGCTCTGTTCAAACTCCAGAGTTATTGGCTTCCCAACTTTCACACCCATTCCAAGACCATCATCGCTAAGGAGGAATCATTGCAGAATCTGATTCAAGAATATGAGACTCGCCAGTGCAGTATTTGCTGTAGCCATGTAGGAGGGCTCCCTCTGAACATGAGCATCAAGCCCTCGTGCCACCCCCAGAAGCTGTACTCGAGCAGAAAGATCAAGCGGAAGATATGGCGGTTGCTAGATCATGCACCGTGGTCCCTGGAATTGGATACCAAGTCAGGCCCCAAATCCACATCCTCCCAGGAGACCTGTCCTCAAGAGAGAGTGGTTATAGAGATGCCTTCCCTGAAAAAGGCCTCTTCAAAGGAGAGAATAACCAGTTCCCTGGAAAAGGACAGTCTCGGTGCCAGGAAGTCCAACATGAAGAAGAAAGCCAAGAGCCATCTCCACATGGAGGGCCTCTTTGAGGCCAAGATCTCTACCCACCTGAGGACTGCCACCCCCATCATCCGTCACTCCCCCCGTGTGACAGTCAAGAAGGCCATCAAGCAAAGACTCTCCTTGGGGTACACCCACTGGGCCTTGTGTGCTGATGCCTTTGCAGGGAGCCCCTTCCGGGACCACCTGAAGAAGCAGAATTTGAAAACCGAGGTCCAACTCCTGGACCTCTGGCAGGACCTGCACCATTTCCTCAGTGTCCTGATGAATAACAGGAAGACGGGGAATGCCGTCTTTTGGCACATACTGGGCAACCGAATCTGTGAGCTCTACCTGAATGAACAGATTGGTCCATGCTTACCACTCAACTCCCAAACCATTGAAGGTCTGAAGAAGCTTCTGCCTTCTGGGAGTATGAACCCCTGGATACCCAAAGCCCAGGAGGAGATCTGCCAGGTAGGTCACACTTTACCAAAATGGGTTAAGATCTAGAGGACTGGGTCAAAATTGACGTATCTGATCACCTATATAAGTTAATGATATAATTACCCACATGACCGTTCACCTATTGAAGAGTTGGTTAATCTCTTAGGAGCAGGCTATACAAATTGCCAAGAAACAGCCAAAACTCCAAAGAAGAATGGAGGTGGGGGAGTGGTCATTATCCACCCTTTAGTCTTTCTTCAATTCCTCCTTATGTGGAGTCTCCCAAAACCATGAACCTCTGAGTGTTCCACTGAGGGAAGTTTTAATGACTCTGCTTTGAACGTCATGGATTGAAATGCAGGGTCTTTCTTTCCTGGAATAGCCAACGAGAAAATGCCAATTGAGAAGGGTTTATTCTTATCCCAAAACATGAGATAAAAGCAGGAGACCATCCTAAAAACTCACAAGAAGTAAGGCCCATTGCTTGACTGTTATATCATCAAGATCTTGGGAGAGCCCTAACTGGTTTGGTTCAGTGGATAGAGGGTTGGGCTGCAGATTGAAAGGTCCCAGGTTTGATTCCCCGTCAAGGGCATGTACCTTGGTTGCGGGCACATCACCAGTAGGGGGTGTGCAGGAGGCAGCTGACCAATGTTTCTTTCTCATTGATGTTTCTAACTCTATCCCTTTCCCTTCCTCTTTGTAAAAAACATCAATTATATACACACACACACACACACACACACACACACACACACATATATATATATATATATATATATATATATATATATATATATATATATATATATTAAAATCTTGGGAGATAACAAATGGCAGAGTCAGTTGGGAAACAGATGAGCATCCAATAAAAGGACTAATTACAAGGTAGTGAGCACGAGAGTAGGGAAACTACAGAGGATAGTGCAGTGCCCCAGGGCCAGTAATGGTGGGTCACCTTTATCACTCTTAGGCCTGAAGAGTTGAGAGGGAATAGTTACCAGAACCAGGAGAGAAGAGCTATATGGAATGGAATGCTCAGCAGGAGCTATAATTGTCAGTAGAGGGATGTAGCCAGTCCATAGTGATCTGGCTGGGAGGGACCAAGAGAATAGATATTCCAAGCTCACTTGGCTCCTGCTTTCCCAACTCCTTTTAGGACTCCTGACTGGATAAACCCAACCACCAGAGGTCAGGGGAGCTTGTTGATGTGATCCATACAGGATCATTTCCCAAGGCATAAGCCAGGTAAAGAAGGATAGAGAGTAGATCTGGAAGGGCAAGTAGATATAAATAGCAAAATTTTAATGCATTATAATTTATTAAACACATCACCTCCTTGAGGATTCCTAGCACCTCTAAGAGAAAGACAGGGTAGTATTGTCATTTGTACAATGAGGAAAATGAGACTCAGAGAGGGTTGAGTGGATTGGCTTAAGGCACACAGCAGACTAGTGGAGGAACCAGGGGCCAGAACCCAGGAATTCTTGGCTCTAAGTCCAGCACAATCTCCAGTACGGCATAATTATCCAGGGTTGCACATCTGGGTTGGATAGTACCAGAGCAGAGCAGTGGATCTATAGCCACAGCTCTCCTGTGCAATTCTTCAGTTCTGGAAGCCTAGAGGCCCCCTTTCTCTTGTGAAACATGTTCCCTCCTCTCCGCTCCCAGGGAACTTTGTTCACCCCTCTATGGTGGCATGTGCCGTCATGCTTGAAGGTGAGCTCCTTGAGAACCAGGCTTGTAGCATACTGATCTGTATGTTCTCAGCAATGGGCACGGTGTCTGGCACATGGGAGGCACTCAGAAAGTATTCATCAGATAAATAAATGAGTGAACGTGAGGGTATAGCTATATAAACCTAGCTAAGCACTAACGCAAAGCTTTCTGTTGTCATTATTGGACTTTGTGTATTTAATTTAAGGTAATGAAATAATTTTCACAAGTGGGTCAGGTCTTCCAGGAGGAGATATTAAGAGTAGACACACCAAAAGAAGATGGTTTGTTTTCAGGACCATTTTGAGAATCAGATGAGTGAGTACTTTGGAAAGGAACAAAGATTTAAGAGGTGGCCAATAATTGTCCTTACACTCTTTGTTGTACCTCTTTCTTAAGTATCGGTTACTGTCCTCTGAGATTCAGAGAGAGGCTGCATGAGCTGGAAATTTAGAAAGCCAAAGGAATGTCCTGGTTGGTCATGGCTGATGTTTGCTGTTCCATTTTATCTCCAAACTAGAGACTTCGAAATCGGCAGCCTATGCTTCTCCCATGTAGACATTAGCAGGCTGAGCACACCTTCTAACACTTATGTCGTGTTTGAATTGCAGATGCTCAGCTCCTGGTATGATGAATTCTTGAATGAAGAGGACTACTCGTTTCTCACTTATTCAGTAGGAGGGGCTTTGAGTTGGGGATGAATCATAAGGTTGAGGGAAGAAAAGAGAGTAACTGCTCTTTTAGAAGCCTTATTCGTTAAAGTAAATGAAAGTCTGATTTCTTTTTTCTTAGAGGCTACTGGGGGGTTGACATGGTCCCTGATGCTTAAACATAAAGCTCTCAAAGCAAAAGACTCAAGTGCGTAAGGTGACTTTAAAAGAGTCACATTCACGTCGAATTTCTCCGTTAATAGAAAATGGGTTTGCAATGGACCTGAACAAATTGAAAACCATCAGCCTAAGTCTACCTGACAGGGAAACACGGGAGGCCTGGGCTGTTACAAAAAAAATCTTGCTTTTGGTCTAGTTCCTGTAGCAAATACTGTCTGTCCCCCTCCCCCTTCTCTTAGACTCAGACCAAGGTCACCAACACGAGGTGGCATAAGAAAGACTCTATAAGGAAAAAAGAGAGCATTCTTCTTTATAAGAGATTTGAGGTGTCCCTGTCGTTATGCCAGAGTTTGGCTTACATGGAGGAAATGGACTCAGTGGAGTGGAGAAAACTAGCTACCGAGGACCTGAGACAAGACGGGTCTCTCCAGGTGGAACTGAAGTCTCCAGTGTTTCTGTCAGGTGAGGGCAGTCACCATAATTTTTTCGACCCCTGACATATAGGCAACTGGGAAATATGGATAGTTAACATTGAGTGATTATTTACTGTGTGTCAGCACTGTGCAATGCAGGAAGCAGCCGGTTGATGGTTCACTCTCACATCAATGTTTCTCTCCTTTCCTCTCTCTCTCTAAAAATCCATTTTTAAAAATTTAATTTTTAAAGTAACACTCAACTCTTGAAATCTTGGCATTGCGCGGTGTGCCCATATACAAAACAAGAGGCCCTGGATGCTTGCCCTTCAGAGCTATGTGCTTGAGCATGAGTTATTTAAATCTTTCACGAAGAGGCCCTCTCTCTGTTTTACCTAGAGCTTCACCTTCTCTCTAAATGCCGAACATTCCAGAACCTCTCCTAGAAATGTAGAGAGATGTGGGAGAAAGGGTAGCAGGTAAATGTCACCACACCAGACAGGGCAACAGGCATTTCTTTAGTGGCCAGGAATGTCCTGGGTAGCCAGGAAGAGTGGGAACCATGCTCCCTGGAGACACGCCCCCCTTCTCCCAGCACACGTGATTATTTCATCCACCGCGCAGTTCTGGAACACCGGTCCCACCTGATAAGGGCCTGCTGTGTATTTGTCCATCTTGGAGCTCTGTCTGCTCAGGAGGCTGATGGCTGTACCCACAGAGCAGTAGAATTAGAATGCTCTCAGCCTTTCTACAGAGAAAATGAGTCCCAAGGAGGTGAGAAGGTTGCCTGAGGCGGCTCAGCAAGGGAGGACTAGAAACCTAGATCCTCTGCAGAAATAACCCGCTGCTCTTGCACCTTACAGCCAGGTACCCCTGGCTGAGAGGCGATATTGACAACAGTGGCAGTTGTCATAAGGACAACTGACATTTGGGAGTCCACACGCTGGGATTCCTTCTGGACTCCACCAGTATTGTTCAGAAAGCACTAGACTGCCCTGGGGAGTTCCGGGACCACTGTGTGTGACTGGGCGGGGGTCTCCAAGAAGGACAGGATCCTCCCACGCTGGAGGGGTGGCAGTCTTTCCTTGCTTCTGATCTGGCTTAGAGAACTTGCATTCCTTGCGTAGAAACATTCCCTTAGAACATTATTGTCATGCTTAAATAACGTTTAAAAGGCAGTACTTTCAACAGAAGTATATAAATTTTTGACCCCTGAGTGGTCAACTAGACCCTCCCCTGTGTTTCTCTACTTGATAGACATAGAGAAAATGTCCTTTGAGGAACTCTGCTATAAGTTTCCGAAGGTGGCCATAGAGAAGATGAGTGAGGACTACAAAAAATATTCTGAAAAAGCACCTATTCGTAAGATGGGTAAGTGTTTATTTAAACCCACAGACAGATTGGAGACAGCCCAGTACGAAAGAATCTCCCAACTCAATGGGCCAAAAACCAGAAGGGGAACCAGGCTTTGTTTGAAATGAGGGATGGTCAGGCTTGTCTCTCAGCTCCTGCCCCTTCCTACAAAGTCATAGAAGAGCATCATGAAAAAGAGATGCGATTGTAAGTGAATGAGGATGAGGATGAAAAATTGTTAATTTCTGCCTTCTTCCTTCTTGCCTAGTTATTACTCTGGGCTTTTACATAACACAGATTCACCTTCTGTGAAGTTCCCTGGAGTCAGAGGTTTATGGAAGGAGGTTTGTTGGGCGTGTTCTTAGGAATAACACCTGTAATGGAATGAGGAAAGCAGGACCGGGCAGCGGTGGGCGCTGACTGTTAGGCAGTTAGCGTAGACCTCAGATCCCCTAGGAAGCTGGAGAGCCAGGTGACACTTAAGCATGGTCCCTCGTTGAAGGAAGGGGCTTTTATACATCTGCATCAACTCACATGGGGTGTGGCTGTCCCTCAGGAGGCTCTGACCTTGGGTCAGGCAGGGCCCTTTGTTGGATGCCAACTCCCAGAATGAGTTTCAATACTTTCTGCATTTCTGACTTGAGGTCCTTTGTCAGTTTTAGGAAAATTCCAGTTATTATCTCTTCAGATATCTGTCCTGCTTCATTCTGTTTCTTTTGGATAATCTTACTACACATATTTTTAATATATATATATAAATATTTTCTCTTATTGATTTTGGAGAGAGAGGAAGGGACAGGGAAAGAGAGAGAGAAACATGAATGATGAGAGAGAATCATCGATCAGCCACTTCCTGCATGGCCTCTACTGGGGATCGAGTCTGCAACCCAGGCAGCTGCCCTGACTGGGAATTGAACCTTCTGATTCCTGGGTCAATGCTCAACCACTGAGCCACACTGGCCAGGCCACATATTTTTGACATTTCAGCCACATCCCCCATGTCTCAAATGCTTTATTCTGTATTTTTCACATTTTTCCCCTGTGGTATTTTCTTTGGGTCTTACTCCTAGCTCAACAATCCTCACTCAGCTATTTATAATTTGTCATCCTACCCATCTCTTAACTTTCAGTTTTCTACATTTCAATCATTAAACCTTTTATTTTTAGAATTTTTTTTCCTTTTTGTGATACTCAGTCCTTGTTGATATTTTTATTTCTTTTAATTACTTACTTTAAATGAATAGTAGTAATTTTAAAATCCATATTTGGATTTCCTGCCATGCTTTTTTCAAGTGCCGTGGATTTTATTTCTCCTTGGTTTTTGGTCATCTTTTTAAATGCCTTGTTATTTCTGCTTTGTTTGTGAACCCGCTGTTGGTACAAATTCGTAGGGATGATTTGAGCTCTGGGTGACCTTCCTGTCCTCCAGGAGAGGGTTCCCTTTACTTCCGGCATACACTGAACAAGCACATCCAGAGAACCTTCACCCACTGAGGGTGAGAGTTGATGCAGCGCTAGCTTCCATGCCTTTTGATGGATGAGCTAGCTCTGGCTTTCCCTCCTTTTGGGGGTCCCAACGGAAGGCCTGGGTGCTTTTCAGGGCCTCTTCTTTGCTGTTTTGTAGTTTTGCTGTCATCTGCCTTAAGAGTCCGCCAAAAGTTCTGTTTTTCTCAGTAACAATTGTCATACTTGTCAGATGCCCTGAAAGTAAGAGCAGTGGCCAAAGGGATTCCCTGCCCATTTTCTAAGGGCGCATGGCTTTGTCTTCGGTCCTGTTCTGGCCTTTAACATGTAAATGGGCAGATGCACTGTTGGTGTCAGCTTACCCTCTGGTTTCTCACCTTCTCTTTGCTTCTAATCCCTATGTTTCTATTTTGTTTTGTGTTAATGTCTTACAGGCTTACTTACAAGTTTGAACGTGTAGTCTTTTATCCACCATTTCTAGGTGTGTTTTTTTATTGGGAGGTTTCTTTTGTTTTCATATTTTTTTATATCTGGTCTTCCATCATCTGGATTGTACTTTTTCACCTATTAATTGCTTATTAGACTCAGTATAGATTTCTACTGTTTTGGATCCTTTGGCATATTATTTGTCACTGAAAGTATTACCAAACCAGACAGAAATTTCCTGTGTGTGTGTGTGTGTGGGGGGGGGGGGGTGTTGAGAAGACATTCTAGTTGATAAATAGTTTACAGGATTTACTATAACCAGACCATGTTCTAATTTCTGGAGGGGCAAGATGAGTAATATACCATCCCTGCCCTTGAAAAAGTCTGCATTATTTTCTACAATATGAACAACCTCAAAAGGCTCTTTGAATACTAAAATGCTTGGAAGTCTGTCATTCTTTAACAGCAATGTTTTAACATATTTTTGAAATAACGGTTCCTAAGTGGCAATAGGGCACCAGGCACCCACTCCAAATTGTGTACTATGGTGCGACAGAATACCACTTTAGAAGTTCGCTGTGGCAGCAGGGTCCTCAGGAAAGGGAATGGTTTCTGATAAAGCCAGAAGGTGGGAGGAATCCACTTTTTTTTTTATACATATACTTTATTGATATTTTACAGAGAGGAAGGGAGATGGATAGAGAATCAGAAACGTTGATGAGAGAGAAATGTTGATCAGCTGCCTCCTGCACACCCCCTACTGGGGATGTGCCCGCAACCAAGGTACATGCCCTTGACCGGAATCGAACCTGGGACCCTTCAGTCTGCAGGCCGACACTCTATTCACTGAGCCAAACCGGTTAGGGCAAAGGGGGGAACTCATAATGAAGAGATCAAACAAGAATCTGTGAGTTTGCTGATGACAAAGCAGAGGTTCCAGAGGACAAGTGGAAGGGTTTCAGAGGAGACAGCAGGGGTGTCCAGGGAGACTGTCACGTGGAGTCTGGTCCTAGTAAAAATGACTGGTTGGGGGAGGGATGCCCTTGGTGTTGAAATGATAGGAAGAGTGATGGAGTAGTCTCAGCAGTTTTCTAAGGAACGTGGGCTCTCGGCCTCATAGCCAGCAGACGTAAATAACACAGTCTGGACTGATAGTAGGGTCAGGGGTTAAAGTCATCCCGAAGTCTCTTACGCACTAATGGCCCATGCATTCCCAGCACTAATGGCCTGAGATGGCAGCAGTTGTGGGGACCGTGGTTTTCCCACATTCACTCTTGCTGCTCTGTCCCTTCTCCTCTGTAATGTTCTTTATAACATGGCGTTGCCCAATGTTGTGACTTCTCATTAGATTTCCAGTATAAAATCTATCGTCAGAAATTTAGCAAAGAGCCACGGATACATTCACCCCCAAGTAAGGAAGCGTCCTTGAAAAAGATTGCTGCTGCCAAGCCTACATTCAGACCCAGGTAAGACACCAATATCTCCAGGCACAGCCCTGGAGTTCAGCACAAGCCTATTTTTCTGTGTTCATTTCCATATTCTTTTCCATATATCACATATATATGCACAGGCATACTAAGTATTTTAAATCATCGTATGTTTTCTAAACCTGGCCCCATGCAATATGTATTATACAGTACATTTTTCAACATAGCAAACTATTATGGACATCCTTTCATGCCCATATGTACACAGGTCTTTCTATCATAGGATGGATATAGCATGATGTATTTAACTATATGTTTTTCATGGACATTTACAGCATCTTCAATTTTTTATGGCTATCAGCAATACCATAATATTCATCATTGTATATGTGTCCTTGCATATTTGTGTTTTCTGGTCTGTGTGTAACTGTAGAAGCCTCCGAACTGGGTCCTTACCTCGTGTCTCTCCCCCTTACAATCAACCCAAGAGTCAGCCTCTGGGAAGGTCCCACTGGGAGGCAAAGACTGTGGCCTTGCTTTCCTGAGTGCCCACTCACCTTTATCCCGCTTTTCTTAGTACAGTTGCCGCCTCTACATAAAAGTTATCCAAATGTATAACTCCCTCTCCTCTGAAACACCAAACCCCTAAAATATAACCCCAAGCACTTACCATATACTGTTTGGTACTGCTCTTTATTTTTTAGGTACCTTTTTGATTAATATTTTCTTGTAAGCCAGGCCATTCATTCAGCCATTCGTTTATTATTTATTTATTTTATTGTTTGTGTTTGTTTTTAAATATGTTTTTGTTGATTTCAGAGAGGAAGGGAGAGGGAGAGAGAGACAGAAACATCAGTGATGAGAGAGAATCGTTGACCGGCTGCCTCCTGCGTGCCCATACTGGGAATCAAGCCCGAAACCAGAGCATGTGCCCTGACTGGGAATTGAACAGTGACCTCCTGGTTCAACCACTGAGCCATGCCCGCTGGCTATTCATTCTTTTTTTTTTTTTTTAATTCACTATCTATTAATGACTAGTTACATGGAGAGCTCTCTTACAGAAGATAGAGATAGATTAGCATTACAAATTTGGTAGTCAACATCCCTAGCAGAATATTTGCAGAGAAAAGTTCCCAGAAGTATGTTTTCAGTTCTGTTAGCCTTGGGGTGTGAGGGGGTGAAAAGCCCTCTGTCTCTTCTAAATACTCTAGAGAGATTTTCCTCCCTTTCAAGGAAATGAAATTAATTCCTGCCGTTTAATCTTTAATTCTGTTTGATATTTTAATTTGTACTACTTAGTACTTTTCACTATTTCTACAGAGATTCGTATTTTCCAAATTAGTTGAAAATGAATATCACAGAAGTCTTTTCTAGATCATATATTAATAAGATCATTAAATTCTAGAGAGATTGTGAACCTTGTCCTTATATTATTTCTGCCCTTAGTCGGAGTCTCTGACTCATCATACTATTATTATGTCTATCAGAGTAATATTTTAAAAATCCATATAATAGGTTTTTTTGCTACTCCTGTCGCAACAAACTCCCATGAATCCTTATTGGCACTTAATCAACACAAATTCCTTAATAATAGTATGATGAGTCAGTCCTTAGTCCAAATTCAATGTACTAAACAGTTTTTGATCATATATGGTGTCCGAGACACTCTGTGGATACTAATGATACAAATAAAGACATAGTCCTTGCCCTTAATCTAATACATAATTAAATAAACTACAATACTGACCTTTAAATGTTATGATAAATTATAGACTAATTACTATAAGAGCATAACTGAAGGAGGAAATTTTGAGTGAGGATTAGGAAAATCTTGAATAACAAAAGAGGCCCTGATCTGAATGGAGCAATTCAATTGCAAAGAAAGGGAGTATTTTGTGGCTAGGGCTAAATCTTCCAAACCGAAGAAGTGACACAAAGAAATAAACTCAGAAGTATGAAAGTGGTATTTAAAGACTTGAAAATAGCCCAGTGGTGTTACAGCACAGAATACTTGGGGAGAATTTTGACATAAAATTAGAAACCTAGATTGAGATGAAAATAACTAAAAGAAGGTTTTGAATGAATTATTAAGGAGTTTGTGTTAAATGGCAATAAGGATTCATGGAAGTTTGTTGGAACAGGAGTAGCAAAAAAACCTATTATATGGATTTTTAAAATATTACTCTGATAGACATAATAATAGTATGATGAGTCAGAGACTCAGACTAAGGCCAGAAATAATATTTGGAAGGTGTGGCAGTTGTTTGGACAAGTGATATTAAAGACCTGAAGTTAAAAGTGGAATCCTATATAATAAAAGCTCAATATGCAATAGAGGGCAGGGATAGCAAAGGAGTATGGGGGGTGGCGGCAACCAGTGGCAGGGCAATGGGGGCCATGCCATCCCCTGATTGCCTGCCCCATCACCTCCTGCAGAGGGAGGCCACAGGCAGTGGTAGTGGTGGGCCTATTCAGGGTGGGCCTGGCCACTCACCATCCCCAAATCAGCCCTCTGGGGTCACCTCCCGCAGAGGGAAGCCAGACTGCTGCTTAGCCCACACCCCACAGGGAACAGGCCGAAGCCGTCAGTTGGACATCCCCCGAGGGCTCACATACTGAGAGAGAGCACAGTATGGGCTGAGGGAACCCTCCCCCGCAAGCACTAGTTTTCATGCACTGGGCCTCTAGTATATATAAGGGAAGATACAAGTTAAAACAAAATACTGAAAATGAGGAATTGGACTTCTGCAGTGGAAAAGTAAGAACCTCAAAAAATTCTCTCCAATGGCAAAACTGGACAAATCCGTCAAAAGTTTTAGAACTCTAGAAATTATATCATCTAAATTTTCAGTTAAAAAATTATGATACATACCTCCACCCCCACGTCCACCCCCCCCCCCCAAAAAAAAAACCACAAAAAAAACACACACACACACAAAAACACTGGAAAGGATGGCTCATACACAGAGGGGGAAAAGCAGTCATTAGAAACTATCTTTGAAATGATTTACATATTGCACTCTAAGGACTTCTAAGCAATATGGTCAATGAATTAAAGGAAACCATGTTTTAAAAAAATAAAGGAAAGTATGATGATACTAATTCATCAAGTGAAAATATCTAATAAGATAAATATTACAAAATAGAATTAAATAAAACATTGGAGTTGAAAAGTACAATAATTGAAATGTAAAATTTACTAGAAAGCATCAATAGCAGATTTGAGTTGGCAGAAGCATTTGTGAACCTAATATTAGCTCAGCAGGCTTATCCAGTGTGAAAGCATCAAAAAATAAGAGACTTGCCAAAACCGGTTTGGCTCAATGGATAGAGCATCGGCCTGCGGACTGAAAGATCCCAGGTTCGATTCTGGTCAAGGGCATGTACCTTGGTTACGGGCACATCCCCAGTAGGGGGTGTGCAAAAGGCAGCTAATCAATGATTCTCTCTCATTGCTGTTTCTGACTCTCTATCCCTCTCTCTTTCTCTCTGTAAAAAATCAATAAAATATATATATATTTTTAAATAAGAGACCTGTGAGACACTATCAAGAACACCAACATACAAATAATGGAAATATCCAGAGAGAGATAAAGGGGCAGGAAAAATATTTGAATATGCAATGGTTGAATACTTAATCAGAATATAGACGCTGAATGAATCCCAAGTAGGATAAACTTAAAAATATTCACACATAGATGCATCATAATCAAACTGTCAAATGACAAAAAGACTAGAAACATAGTTTTACCTATCAATGAAAATTGAGATAACAGAGGAGGTAGGGATGGGGGGGGGGGGGGGGGATAAGCGAGAAATCATAAGGCAAAATTCAAGAGGATTGAGAATGAAACATTAGAGGCACCTTTATTTAAGGAACGGTGGAAAAGAAATCAGCAAAGGCAATTAGAAAGTATTGATCAATAATTGCCGATCACTTTTGCTCCACCTGACTGAAATGACTGCCAGTTAGGGGTTTGTTTTGAATCCATAATGCAGAAAGAAGGTGGTTCTGGGCGGGGGGGGGGGGGGGGGGGGGGGGGGGGGGGATTAGCCCCTTTAAAATACCTCTCTTCCTTTTCCATTGATGTCAGCAATGATTGAACCACGCTTAGGATAGACACACAAAAATTTATTTTCAAGGAAATAGAGTCACCAATTCATTCACCCTGATCTTCACGCATAATTGAAAGCCCCACAGCCCGGGAGAAGTCCTTCCCCATTTCTTAAGTGGAACCGAATCCAGGGTCACCGTACATTCTCTCAACCAATGGTGTTTTCTTGTTTCCAGAACCCTGGAAGAAGTCTTCCTAAATATACAGCACTTTGAGTACTTCACGGAGTACCTCAAAGGACAGAAGGCTGATAACCCATTGCAATTCCTGATGGCCATACAGAAGATCAGTGTTGAGACCGATGAACAGGTCTCCAAGTCTCTTGTTGAAAATCTGATGGAGACTTATTTCTCTGGCTTAGTCCCTGCTGGTATGCAGCTTCCTCCTGATACTGTTTGCCTCTCCCTTTAGTATCCTAGAAGAGTCTGGAAAAGAGCGGTCTTGAGTCTTCTCCTAAGGGAGCATAACAGAATAGCGGCCACACGAGGCAGTATTGAGACAAAGGTTAAGAGGGATAGTGAAAGCGGAGAACACCAGTCAATTAGAAATATTGGTAGTTAAAGAAGCCAAGTGCAAAACACTTGCATCTATATGTGAAATACGTTCTTTCAGTCCATTTGACCCTGAAAATAGGACTTTAATCAATCCCTATAAAGTAGGGATAAATAGCTCGACTTAACTAATTTGGAGGGTGAAACGGAGGTAACCAACTTATCCAGTTGGTGGAACTTGAATTCAAACCCAAGTTGTTTGACCTTCAAATCAACTACACTGGAGTTAGATATAAACTGCAAAGCAAGAGTGTCCACCACTCATAGGTTATAATGGTACTTGTGCCAGGAAGCAGAACTATCTCTTTGAAAATCCTCATAAATTTTGTCTTGTTTCCTTGCCTAAGGTGGGAGGGGTAAATCTGACCCAGGTCAGTTCATTTGGCCAGAAGCAGAAGTTGCAGGTAAAGTATTGACCTATAAGACTGAAGGCAAACTAAAGGGAGTGAGCTTGGTTCCATCTTGGAGGTAAACAAGCAAAGTAATAAAGATGAAGCCTACTATTTTGACAAGAGATGGTGTGTGTGTGTGTGTGTGTGTCTGAGTGTGTGCTTTGCTTGTGGTAAACCAAGAAAGGACATAGATTTTTATACAAGACAAAAAAAAAAGGTAAAATTGGAAAAATCTTGTAAGAAATGTTTATTAAGTGTCAGGAGATTAAGTTCTATACATAGTTTTGAACGAGCTAGAAGTGGAAAAGAAAAAGGAAGCAGATCTTGTCCTTGGAAAATTTTCAAATCTTATTAAGGACAACCATATTCTTTGAACAAAAATTGTATAGGCCATATAATACTTACTTGTAATCTTGGATTTCTCATTTGCCTCAGCGGTTAATTTTAATCCTTTATGTTTCCGCTCTCCTCCTAAACAAAAACTTCAAACTAACTGCAGAAATGAGTCTTTTAAACATTTATTCCCTTTGCACACTTCTCTGAGATTTGAGTGGAACTAAACTAGAATAGGAACAGTATTGGCTCTACAAATACACTTGCACATAACATCCCAAAGATGCGTTTGGGATTTTCAAATCTGTCTAACCAGATTGAGAATAAGGGACTGTAAGACTCTGAGATGAAAAAAAAACAAAAACAAAACAAAACAAAACAAAAAAAACACCAGCTACTTCAGAAACAATAGACAAGAGATGATGGCTTCTCTCCCACCTCCCCATCTCCCCTCCTCCTCCCCCTTCTCCGTGTCATTTTCTAGAAGACATACTGCAGTGTGATGCCCCTATCATCAGAGAAGTCTCTCAGAAGGGTCGTCTCAGCACAAACTCATTGTTAACACTCCGGAACTGCATCATGAACTCTCTGAATGAGAAGTGGTGAGTATTGCTCGGTGGAGGCAGTGAGCCTTGCTGGAGCTGCTCGTTGGCTGCTGCAAGCCACAGGATTCAAGTCTCATAACACACACGCAGAGTACATCGTCAAAAGAAAAGCCAAACAAAAGGAAAGCCAAGCTTACCTTGAACCCTCCTACCTACCTGCGTGGACATGCGGGCACATGCACACGCACACTCTCTCACACACACACTTCTGCTCCTTTGTCTGAACAGGAACAATACAGCATTGATTGGGAAGGGCAGGCTGACGTTAGCAAAGGATGGAAATATTAAGACTATTTTTGGGTATCTTGATGTTCCCCAGTTTCCACTTTGACTTCCTCCAAAAGCAGGGATAGGTGTGCTGCAGCTGCTCCTCCTGTTGGTGTGCCAGGCTTTGGCCTTCTTTGACATTCCTCACCGCCTCCTCCCGGCAGGTTTAAAGACTACCAGGAGCTGTTCCCAGATTTCCCTCAGGAAGTGCAAACTCAAGCACGAAGCGTGTATAGGAAGCCCTCGAAGACTTCATCCGTGCAAATACATGAACCGCAGGTGAGTGAGGAAGCAAGCGAGGGCAAGACCCTGGGGACGAGAAAGCCACTGCCTCAGCAGCGTCACCCATACATATGTGTTTCACTGTTAGCTAATTCAGTCACCAAAACAACTCTTCTTGTGGGATTGGTTTCTGAAACCCCACTCTATGAAGGAGGAATCTGAGTCTCAGAGACATTGTTACAGTGGGAATTTAAGGAAGTCCTTCTCCACTGCCTTTGTGAGAGGCAACAGGTACTGATGGAGATGAAAATGCCAGGTTTTTGTTTTTTGGGGGGCTTGGGAGGGGGGGTTTATGGCTGAAAGCTACTTTCAAGGACATGCATTGACCGTGAAGTCAAAAGGGTTTGATAATCCTCTTTCACATTTACACGTCCAGTCACTTTAGCACAATGGAACAACTTAGGCCCCCATTTACCTGAGGGAGCCCCTTCTGGTATGAGAAAGGGCAGGCCTGAGCATGTGTCCCAAAGACAAACACCTCCCAGAGAGAGAGAATGCAAGGGGTCCAGAGCAGACGGTACCGGCTTCCTTCTTCCAAACTCGTCAGTCATCCAGCTCATTCTTTCTCCACCTGGAGGAGATAAAAAGGGAAGAAAGAAAAGACAGGTATGTTAGAAATAATCCTAAATAATCTCTTAAGTAACCTTTGTTCAATGTGTTTTATAGTTCATTTATATCAGAAAAACTTGACCCCAGCTCTGACTCCAAAGATCATGCCCAGATATTTCTGAAAATCATTCCTATGCCCATTAACCCAATACCCTCAGCTATGGAAATAGGCTTCCCTGTTCTTTCTTCTTTTTATTTCCTCCATCCATGAATCGACTCCATGTCAGGGTACCAGGAATGATCACGTAGGACATTGGGAAGAATACCGCCCTCAGAACCCCGATGCTTTGTTTTACTTTCAGGTCTTCCAGTTGCTCTTAGATAAGAAAAGATAAATGGAACACCAACATGTGCATAAGCCTACTTTGTGCTAAGTATTGTAGTAAGGTTTTCACATATCACCCCTAACCCTTACCACAACCATTGGTTTGTGTCTTACACGTGGAGACATGGACTCATGCTTTAAGTAAGTTGGCCCAAATGGTATACAATTAAGGAAAGCTAGGTTTATACTCAAAGTTTCTGATTCTAAGTCCAGTGGTTTTTGAACTTTACCTCTGGCTTTATGAAGCCATGTTTCCACTGAGGATCCCTGCCTGGAGAATGAGACAACAAAACTAGATCAACCAGATGCTTTCTGGCCCTCAACCTCCATTTCTCAAAGGGTAAATGAACAGGTATCGATGAAGAAATGGATGAAGAAACTTATCAAATGAATTTGTGTTTGAGAGTGTACCTGCGTGTGGTATATGAGTGTGTGCATCTGATTATTAGTTTTTTTCTTTTTAAATGCTTAGAAATGGTTTTATTCGTTCCCTGTCCCCCACCCCCACCCCCAACATTTCAAAATCTGCCTGAGCCATTATTCCAGCCTTGTGAGTCATACTTATCTCTGTCCTCTGTTTCTTCCTGTTTTTAGCTCAAAAAACTCCTTTCTCAATCACGGCAACTCAAATCTTCACAGTTGAAAGACAACGAGAGAAAGAGCTTTGCCAATGGCCCTAGACATGCCTGGGTGAAGCCGGAATCTTCCACTCAGCAGATGCTTAATCTGGGGAAGGTTATACAAGTTCTTTGACTTGAGTTTCCTGGGCTTTAAACTGGAGCTTAAAATTATTCCCTTTTAAAGGTGTTGTGAGGATTGCTTGTAAAGAATGTCAAGTTTTGGCGCATAGTTGACCCTCATTGGACAGCAGCTGTACTAATTATGTGTCACCCTCTCTCTTTCCCCAGAAAAGAGTCTGGCTGAGAATGGTCGGCTTTATCAGGAGCTTTTGCAAGTACCGCAGATTCATGAGCAATGCCAGCTTGCGCCAGGAATTTGAAAAATATCTCCAACTGGAAATTAACAACAACGAAAGTAAGTCACATCTCTGCTTGCTCTCCTTCCCTGTTGATTTTAGCAGCAGGGCTGGCTCAGATAAGTAAGTAGCTGCAGGGGTATGGCTCTGTGTCATTCATGTCTGCGTTAGCCTGGGGTCTAGCAAGAAGGCCAGGTCCTGGCTGCAAAGCCAAGCCCAGGCCAGCCTGGAGAGGATAGGGGTTCAGTGGCTTCTGCTCAGGGACCCAGAAGGGTGGAGAATGACTAGACTAAAGCAGCGTGAGATTACCAAACTATTTACTTATGTTGTTTGTTGGAAGCAAGAGATTTATTAAATTGTTTCGTTCATTCACTCAACGCCCTTTTTGAGAATGTGGCAGACACTTTGCTGGGGATACAGTAGTGAGCGTGCAGCATAGGATCTGCACTCAGGGTACCTCCACTTTGGAGGGCAAGGCAACAAATCAGAGCCACAGATGTTGGAACCAAATTTCCTGGGTTTGAATCTGGCACTTACTCATGGGAGGACCTTGTGAAAGTGTCTTTGTGCCTCAGTTTCCTCATCTGTAGAATGGAAATAATTGTGCCTGTCTCAGAGAATTGTTGTAAGGATTAAATGAGTTAAGATATATATAAAGCATCTTAGAATTATTTCAGGCAATGGTAAGTGCTATGAAAGGGTTAGCTAGTATTCTTGCTATTATTATATCACTAGAGGCCCAGTGTATGAAATTCGTGCATGGGGGGGAGGTGAAGGAGTTCCTCAGCCCAGCCTGTACCCTCTTGCAATCTGGGACTCCACGGGGGATGTCCAGCTTCCAGTTTATGCCGATCTCTGGACCACTGGCTCCTAACCACTCGCCTGCCTGCCTCATCACCCCTAACCACTCACCTGCCTGCCTAATGGCGCCTAACCACTCTGCCTGCCTAATTGCCCCTAACTGCTTGCCTGCCTGCCTGATCACCCCTAACCACTTCTGCTTTGGCCCCCGCCACTGTGGCTTGGTCCGGAAGGATGTCGGGAATGACATCCAGAAGGTTTTTGGCTGTCCGGTCTAATTAGTATATTATGCTTTCATTATTATGCATTGTGATGAGTGACCCTATTGACGATTTCAGGGAGATCCTAATTAGTCCAGAGGAAGGATCAGAAGAGAAACATATAAAAAAAAAACACATAAAGTTAAGTTTTCAGAGATGAACGAGTTAGGTAGGCAACATAGGAGGGAGTGGCTTTCTAGGTCTGCATTTAATCTTAAAATAGGAAAGAGGATGGTGCCGATCAGGAACTTTAGGCCGGTTGGACTGGAGATTAATGAGATAGGGAAAGTAAGATGAGACTGGAGGGCTTGAGAGTGACAAATCTTGTCTCTCTTTTGATGACTTTTGCGTTGTTCCAACTGTCACTTCAACAAACAATGCTACAAAATGTGCATATTTTGCAACTGTCAGTTTCTGTAAAATACATTTTTAAAAATGGAATTAATGGGTAAATGGGTAAAAATAGTTCAATTGTGGCCTTCTAAAACCACTGCACTAATTAAACTCTCACCAAGAGTATAAATGAGAGCCTCATTATCACCAACATGGGCTCTTATACATTTTTAAAATTCTAGCACGCTGGTAGATGAAAAACAAGGTACAATTCTTATGTACATTTTTTTTTAATATTTAAGCATCTTTATTTATTGGTCATTTGTATTCTTTTTGAACTGTTTATATGTCCTTTGTCTATTTTTCTATTGGAATTTTAGTAGTATTACTGTATTTCCTAATTTTCAAAAAGTTCTAATATGTATGTCTTATGGACTGCTTCACAACCCAACAGTTAGGATTTAAGAATAGCCCTAGTCCTGGATGTGTGGCTCAGTTGGATGAGCATCGATCCATGTACCAAAAGGTCACCAGTTCAATTCCCTGTCAGGGGGCATGCCTGGGTTTAGGGCTTGATCCCCAATAGCAGGCAGGCAGGAGGCAGCAGATCCATGTTTCTCTCTCACATCAATGTTTCTCTCTCTCTTCCCCCTTCTCCTTCCTCTCTCTCTAAAAAATCAATTAAATTTAAAAAAATTAGTTCTAGCTCGTTTGTTTCTTCTTTAAAGTAAAATCAACTCAACCTCTTATGCCCAGGATGTAGGAAGTCCAATTTCACCTTCTTTTGACTTCCTACATCCTCAGCATTATATGGGAGCCCAAGAACAAGAAGTTCCTGCAACTTCACTGGAGATCTGCCTGACCAGTGGTCTGCTTTCCTTTACCATAGTCTTTTCCAGGATTATGTTTTCCCATTAATCGGTCCATTTATCATCACAAAAGGACCTTCTTTATCCTGGGTAATATTCTTTTCTCTGAAATGTACTTTGCCTGGTATTAAAATAGCCACTATCACGTTGCTTTTATTAGCGTTAGCTTATGTGATTTTTTTCAATTTCTTTCCTTATAACCTATTTAAAGTTTTGCATTTAAAATGTGTTTGTTTGTTTTTCTGTTGCCAGCATATAAAAAAAAAAAATCCACCCTTATGACCTTAGCCCAGTTGAGAGCCAATTATTATGCATTCAGGTATTTTGTGAGCTAGTTGAAATCAACCATGGTGGGAGCATTTGCTATAGAAATGGGCAAGTAATGAAATCATCTCTTCCAACCTCTACCAGAGAAGACTTGTCAGCCCGCCCCTGAGTCCAGATTTCTTGGGTGGATTTGATACCCTCTTTCCTAAAATCCCTGATGATCATATGAATTTCCACTGTTATTCAGATTCTTTTTCCCTTCAAATTCAAGTCTCAGAGATAAAGAGAGATGGTAAGATAGTCGGGAGAGACCTTAGGCTTTGTAACCCTAGGATTTAGCACAGTGCATGGGACACAACAGGTGCTAGGTATTTACTGAACATTGCAGTCACCCTCCCGTCAGAAAGAATCCCACCAGACAGTTTCTTCCTGGTAAACCCAGCCAGGCAATGGACTAGGGCCTACTTGTCAGATCCAGCCCAAATCTACATATTCTAAGCCCTAAATCCCTATGAGTGGGTTTCTTTGACTATATCCTAGTCAAGAAACTTTCTAAAATAACTGCCTTGGTTTTCTGAGACACAACCTAAACCTTCTAGAATCGTCCCAGGGGTCTTCAAACTACGGCCCTCAGGCCACATGCGGCCCACAGAGGAGTCTGATCCGCCCGCCAGGTTTTTTGGGCAGTGAGCGCAGCCGAGGTGTTACAATAGGAATTAGTAGTTCATATAGTCCGGCCCTCCAGCTCTCTGAGGGACCGTGATCTGGCCCCCACTTTAAAAAGTTTGAGGACCCCTGCTACGCTCTCCTTTATTCATTCCTGTCGTATTTCTGCTCTAGCTTCCTACCCTCTGCTTTTTTTTTTTTTTTTTTAATATATTTTATTGATTTTTTACAGAGAGAAAGGGAGAGAGATAGAGAGCCAGAAATGACGATGAGAGAGAAACATCGACCAGCCGCCTCCTGCACACCCCCCCCACCGGGGATGTGCCCGGAACCAATGTACATGCCCTTGACCAGAATCGAACCTGGGACCTTTCAGTCCACAGACCAACGCTCTACCACTGAACCAAACCGGTTTCGGCTACCCTCTGCTTCTTAATTAACTTCTTTACTCTTCATGGTTTGGCTGTGTGTGTGTGTGTGTGTGTGTGCTGCTTTCCCTGATAAACCTTGAATAAGCAGCATCAGAACCACGCACTCTACTTTGAAGGTCACCTTTGCCTATTCAGTTTCTGCAAACGTGTTAGGGATTGGCGGTAATTACAGTGAGCACCTATCTCTACTAGACCAGCATCAGGAAGACACATTTCAATGCTCAGTGGGTTTCCTTTTGGTATGTATGTGGCATGCCATCTGAGCAGACGGCTTTTCCAGCAGTCCTTCAGTCCAAGTGAAAGGGTGAGCCCAGTGGGAGGGAGTCACTATTTCAATAGGCCCGAAGGTGTGTCCGTCATCTTTCACTTTAATTATGCTTGAAGGCTTCAGGCTTAAGAGGGACTTGCTCAAGCTAGATGTTAACTCCTTCCTTTTTCTTTTTTCAGACTTCCCTTCATCGCCAAATGTATCAGGGCGCCCATCCCCACATCACTCAACTGTCCGGAGTGCAGAGGAGAACGGAGATATAATATATATGAAGCGCCGTATATTTAACCACAAGGTTATCATTGTCAACTTTGCCACCAATGATATATATTTCTTTTCTGAAATGGAGAGGTAAGTTTCCCATCTGTGGCTTTTCATGCTTAGTGCCTCCTGGCAAAGACTGGCCTGGCCTGTACGTGACGTGGCACAGTGATTTCTGTGAACATCTCACTGAATGCTATCACTGTATCAATTTCCACCATTTTCCCCTTTGGGTCCTGAAAGCTCTTCAATATTTTGGAGTTCCCAATATTGAAATGCACTTATTTATACCGAGGATGTGGAACCCTTTTTTTGTTCTATTATCTATTATTATCTATTAATATGAAAGAAATCCTCTTATATATTGGACCAATTAGTTATTTAAAAAAAGTATTGATTTGAGAGAGAGAGAGAGAGAGAGAGAGAGAGAGAGAGAGAGAGAGAGAGAAAGAAAGAGAGAGAGAGAGAAACATTTGTTTCACTTAGTTATGCATTCATTGGTTGACTCTTATCCTGACCAGAGATCGAACTTACAACCTTGCAGTATTGGGACAAAATTCTAGTCAATTGAGCTACCTGGCCAGAGCTGAATGGCTGTATGCAAGCAGGATATACCAGTTCTCATCTCAGAGCTCATCTCCTGCCCCTCACCAACCACTTGCCTCAGGCTCCAGCTCAGAGGCTCCACCCCCACCTCTGCCTCTCTCCGCCCATGGAGCTGTCTTTTTGTCATTGTTCGGCCTCAGTGTCTGCTCCCTCCCCAATTTCATCATGCCCTTCTTCTGTCTTCATAGCCTCTACTGGATATTTAATTAATCACCTACTTATCTGTACATCTTCTTCCCTCACTGACTGAGCTCCTGGAAAGCCGGGCTTTGTTTACTTGTTCCCTGCCAAGTCCCTCCTCCTGGAACTGTGTCTGGCACAGCATAAACCCTGAATCAAAATGTTTGTTGACTGAATACATGAATGGATATGGGAAAACCTGGTGTCCTACCATTAGGAAGACTTTAACATGGTTAGGATTTTATATAAATGGCCTGGGAGAAATCAGCCGTGTACTTACATCGAGATAAGGTGTAACTGACAAATATGTGATAGCCACTGAAAGCATATGTTGCTAGGAGACAGAAAGTAGAGTGGTGGCTGCCAGGGGCTGGGGGAGGTGGGGAATGGGACAGTGTTTCATGGGCATGAGTTTTAGTTTGGGAAGATGAAAACGTTTTGGAGATGATGGTGGTGAGGATCCCACAACCACGTGGGCGTACTTTGTGCCACTGCAAATCAGTTCAACTGGTTATGTTATGTATGTTATCTTACAATAGTAAAAAATAAATAAATAAATAAATAAATAAATAAATAAAAATAAAAAAAGGAATATGATGCTTCAGAGCCTGGTGGTAATTGTGAGAGGGTCAGTGAAGGAGGGGAAAGAAAGAGCAAGACAACGCTTAGCCCTCTGAGCAGACAGAGGGCCCCGCCTGATGGGGAAGGGAGGAAGGATGGGATTAATAAAGGAGTTAGTGATGAAGAAATACACGCGCAGAAGCACTCAGCATCTCCTCTGACAGGTGGAAGGCGCTCAATTAGTGTTTGCTGGTAGATGAATTACAACTGGATGAATGTAGTCACAACCTGGCAGGGACTTGGCCCTGTCTTTTTTAGACCAAACATAGTCAGGGCAGGCTGCCCTGAGTCGCCACGGCTATCCTCTCTGCTGATTGCCTGCTTCCTGCCTCTCTTTAGATTTAACAATCTGGTGAGTTCAGCTCATGTGCGTCACGTCAACTGGGCCTATAACGAGAATGACGTGATCCTAATGAAGTCCAAGATTAACATCATCCTAAGGCTCTACCTGCAGTCTGACGTCCCTCCGAGGCTGAGGGTAAGGGGACTCCCACTCCTCTCTGGCCTTGTCCCAAGGAGCATTTCCCCCCCCTCCCTACGAAAACCCTGAAGCTGTGTCCTGAGTCCTGGGTCAGCCAGATGCCCTTGACCTAGCAGCCCCAGGAAAAGCTCCTGCCTTTTGAGGAGGGGGCATCTTAAAGGTTGTAGGGCCCAAGAGAGGTTTGCTGCCAGTGACCGGCACCCACTCTGCGGGTAGGTGAACATCTCCGAGACCCAGAAGGATGCCATCATCGCTGCCATTGCCGAGGGCCGCCTGGACCGGCACATCTTCCACGGGGCTATCATGTCTCTCTTCCCCATCATTATGTACTTCTGGAAAAGGTAACTGCCTCCCCTTCCCGCCCCTCCCCAGGTCAGGGAAAACTGTCATTGTGATGGAAATGCAGCAGAGTGCAGTGATAACAGCGCGGTGCGGGCCACATTGCAAGGCCTGGCGGGACGGATTTGGCCCGCGGGCCTTGTGTTTGACACACGTGTTCTAGAGAGTCTTCTGTCTTCCCGTAGCTCTCTGCTCCCGTTTTCCAGACTCATGGGGACCGAGATGGTGTGTTCTCCTACTCACTACACTTCGCCCCTCACGCTGAGCACTGAGTCAGAGGATGGGAGGCCACGTAAGACTGGGGACCAGAATGCCTGGCTCCCAACACTCCCTGCGCTGAATGGGAAATAAAAAGGAGAATACCAGGTTGTGTTAGGCGTGGGTTTCTCACCTAAGGGTGCCTAAGACTACAGCTACCTGGGAGCAGTCTGTCAAGGCTGACACACTGTCCCCATGCTCAGGGCGCCTCCTGGGGGCAGTGAGCCAGGAGAGTTTGGCTCTGCTGTGCCCACATCCCATAATTACCAGTCGGGGCACAGTTGCTAGATATTTCCGTTTTCAAGAGACGCTAGAAATTTAGGTTCTTAGGTCATAGCTCCCCATGTGAAAGTAGTACCATCTCAAACCTAAAACCTGGGGAGGAACCCGGGAAGGCCAGAAAGGAAACGGAAAGAAAGACAAAATCCGCAGAACAGATGCGGTGGGGGTTGGGGTGGGGGGTGGCCCTGAGGCCCTGGTTTCTAACCTGTCCCTTAGAGACTCACCGAAGTTCTCGCAACTGATTACTCACGCCTGTGGTCCACGGTGGCCCCAGCTCCACCTCCCCCAGGGTGAAGGGCAGCGCCCGGCTGTTAGTGGCCACAGGCCAATGGGCCGAAGTGGCCCCAGACCAGGCTGGTTGAGGTGTTTAGATTATTATTGTGATTCCAGGTCTGAGGGGTTTCCCCAACACACACACAAACACACACACACACACAAGTTGCTTTCTTAAAATAGAAGCGTTAAGGTTGCTTACCAACCACCAACCTTCCATTTTAAATCCCTAAGATAAATTATGGAATATAAGATTGAAATAAAATTAAAAAAAAAACAAAAACTAAGTTCAAGATAACCAGTTGATCCTTTTTGAGCACCAATTGTTCTCTAGCACTTATGTGGAGACTTGATTCTCTGCATGCTTAACCAGGACTAAATAAAAGTGGGTCCCAAAACTTTCTGGGGGATCGACAGCCCCTGGGAGATAGCTGCCTCTCCGTCTAGAGTCCGGCTCAGCGCTCCCTCATCCCTGTTCATTGCTTTCCTATATATTTGCGAAGATTTTTATATCGTACAACTGTGTCCGCATCTATTATCTCAGGTGAACCTCTTAACAGCCCCGTGAGGTGGGTGGTGCAAAGTCTTACTATCCCTGTTTTATAGATGAGAGAACTGAGGTTCAGAGCGGTTAAGGGCCTTGGTAAGTAGGTTAAAAACCAGGTCTCTTGGTCTTGCAAGCACCATAAAGAATGCATCCTTGCCCTAGCTGGTTTGGCTCAGTGGATAGAGAGTCGGCCTGCAGACTGAAAGGTCCCTGGTTCGAGTCTGGTCAAGGGCACATGCCTGGGTTGTGGGCTCAGTCCCTAGTAGGGGACGTGCAGGACGCAGCCAATCAATGATTCTCTCTCCTCATTGATATTTCTCTCTATCTCCCTCTCCCTTCCTCTCTGTAATCAGTGAAAATATATTTGGGAGGGGGGGGGGGGAGAATGAAATCTTAAAAAAAAAAAATGCATCCTTAACCCAACCACTGTAGCTCAGTTGGTTGAGCATTGACCTATGAACCAGGAGGTCACGGTTCAATTCCGGTCAGGGCACATGTCCAGGTTGCAGGCTCAAACCCCAGTGTGGGGTGTGCAGGAAGCAGCTAACCAACCGTTCTCTCTCATCATTGACGTTTATATATCTCTCCCCCTCTCCCTTCCTCTGAGAAATCAATAAAAAAATATATATATTTTTAAGAGAATGCATCCTTGAGGTATTGGGAGGTCCATGACTGGAGGGAGATCCAGTTTAGCAAGTGGAATGGGAGAAACCCACTGTGATTGGGTGGACTGTGCCTTGGGGAGGAAGAAGGAGGGCAGCAGTCAGACCACCAGAGCCAAGGCAGGATAGAAAATAAAGCCAAGACACCTCCAAGCGGTCCACTCTCGGGACAGGCTGGGGAGAGCAAGGGCTCAGGGCCAAGGAGGGAGAGATGGAGAGCGTGGCGAGGGCTTCGGGGGAGCAGCCGTTCTCAGGTTGTAGTGAGTGTGTGAGTCTGAGCTCCTTAGAGGAGCCAGGCTTTCCTCCAGGGCAGGACTGTTGGGAATGAGGGGAGGGGCCAAGGTCCTCAGTAAGGGACAGGCTACAAACTAGGGATGTTCACCAGGACCTGAGGGAGGCCAGTCAGATGCTCTGGCTGCACCAGGTGGAGTTAGATGGTATCTGAGAGTCTGATGCTCAGGGGAGCACACCAGGGTGGGGTACACCAGCGTGGGGAACAGCAGGTTTTTTATAGACTCCATTCACTGGAGGTTGCAGAAGGAAGTCACAGCATCCTGCCTGTCCTGGCCCTTCACTGAGCCAGGTAGCACACTGAGGCAGGTGCTGTCCTCTTGTCCACCCCCACTCCACCCCCGCTCTCTCTCCCCCCCACCTCTGGCTCTGGCCTGTCCCCCCTGTGCTCTGTGTCATAGTCCCCTGAGAGGTTCTCTCCCTGCGACCAAAAGCCATTGTTCTCACAGGTTTTGTTCCTGGAAAGCAACCCGCTCTTACTTCCAGAAGAAGGAGAAGGTGACCAAGGAGATAAAACTTCCTACTAAACCGGTGACCAAGTACTCTATTTGGAGTGGAGGTAAGCCCCGCCAGGACCCACAGCCCGATTCGCTAGCAAAGGAGACTCATGAAGAGGGCTGGGAGGCCCAATGGTAAGACCTCACAGAGGGTGTTTGCTGGTGGGAGGGGCATCTCATTACTGGGCCCACGGAGAAGCATTCAGGTCTACATTATCTGTGGCAATCAGTGATGGCAAAAAGGTCCCCACCCACCCCATGGGCAAGCTCCCTGGCATTGGTGGAGATATGGAGCTCCATAAACGGTTATGGTGTTAAGTGAGAAAATGAAAAGGTGGATGTAGAGTATGATTTCATTGTGGTAAATATATATATGTGTCTATAGATCTTTATGCATACGTATGATTTTTATGAAAACATGGGGAACAGCTTAGAAATAGAGTGTTAATAAGAGTATCTCTGGGTGATGTGATGTTGAGAGATTTATATATTATTAATATATTGTTAATCATATTAATATAGTATTTATATTATTCAGTATGTTATCCTATCTAATAAAAGAGTAATATGCAGATTGACCATCACTCCAACACACAAGATGGCTGCCCCAATGTGGACACAAGATGGCCAGCAGGGGAGGGAAGTTGGGGGGGACCAGGTCTGCAAGGGAGGGCAGTTAGTGGTGACCAAGTTGGCAGAGGAGAGAAGGTGGGGGCAAACAGGCTGGCAGGGGAGCAGTTAGACATCAACCCGGCTGGCATGGGAGTGGTTAGGGGGTGATCAGGCTGGCAGATAGAGGTGGTTAGGGGCAATCAGGCAGGCAGGCAGGCAGGCAGGCGAGCAGTTAGGAGCCAGCAGTCCTGGATTGTGAGAGGGATGTCCCAGATTGGAGAGAGTGCAGGCCGGGCTAAGGGACACCACCACCCCTCCCCGCGCCCCTGTGCATGAATTTCGTGTACCGAACCTCTGGTGTTATATATTTATAGATGTGTTTGAAGACACACACATGCATGTTTTCTTTACACAGAGCAGTTAAGCTCAGTCCCTTTCCCAATATGTGCGCTGAGATCGGTTACTGGAGCAAAGGGGGATTTTAGAGAGAGGGAGGAAGGCACACAGGGCAGTGTCTGGCGAGGGTGGGGCAGGGTGGAAAGTTCTGGGAAACACAGTTCTGTGCACCTGGGGAGAGTACCAGCAGCAGAACAAAATGTGGGGATAGGACAGGAATTTTAAAAACAGCAGCTAGCCGTCCCAGGATGGAGCTCACCTGGCTGTTGAAGCTTCTTTCCCCAGATGCTCACTCCTGCCCCTCCCCAAGACCCCGCACACACAAATGTGCCACCCCTTTCTTTGGGGCCCTGGAGATCTAAGTCCGTCTCTGGGGAACAACTCTGGCCACAGAGCTCTGGTCCTGCCCCATGGACCCCTGGAGAGGGCCCTCACCTCGGTAGGAAGCAAATGGCCTACCTCCATGGCTGCAGCCACCCTGTGGTCCAGGAGGCGTCTCCCCCTGGTCTCTGCCTTGTGGAATGCCACGCCAGCAGGCAGTAATCAGCTATCTTTTCAGGATGTGGGCGGCAATGTTCCTGCAGGTGCAAGGCCTCATTTTAGGATGAGGGTGGGTGTAGGGAGAGAGGAGGTGACAGCAAGAGGAAAAGGAGAGGGAGGTGGGCAAGGCAGGGTGGGCAAATGACGCTCACTTCCGAGGAGCAAGAGAATGCCCTCATTGGGCATTTCCTGTGCTGAGCTCCAAGGAGGTAAATCCCTACATCTTTTCTGGCGTCAGAAGCTGGAAGAGGTCTGCAGGACGCCCTGAATTAAGGGGTCAGGCCACTCGGGTTCTAGGCCTGGAAAGTCATCCTGGATGAGCGGAGGCATTTTGAGAATCTTGCTTCCCGAACTGCTGTGTTCTTAGACCCCCGATCTAAGATACAGACATTTGGATTTAGGCAATGCCCATCGTTTGCATCCTGTAACCCAAGGAGTGTTAAATGGGAGCTTCCTTGCTTGCTTGGAATGATTTCGTTGGTAGGACATTGCTGTAAAGGCTTTTAATGCCTCCCTCTTTCCCTCTCCCTTCCCCAGGAGAACATGCCATCTTGAGATTCTCCTTGCTCAGAGGTATCGAGTGGTTGCGGCCCCAGCAGCGAGATACAATACCAAGTTCAGTCCAGAACTGTGAGTTGGAGTTGGAACCCCGTGGCTAGCAAAAGCCCACTACTCAGTGAGTGAGAGGGTGACCCTAAGGCCAGCTTGGCCCATGTCCTTGTTGACCAGGAGGAGACTGAGATCCCCAAAATATGAAATAATTTGCTCAGGATCACACAGCTTGTGAGTGGCAGGGATGGAGTGAGAAGCGGGTCTCCTGCCTGTCCTCCCAGGGCCCCGGGCCCAGCTCTCATTAGAATAATCATGTCTTTTATAGCCCTTTAAAGGCAGTAGCTGAAGCTTCTCGATATTTCTGCCAGCTCCTCTGCCTCTGTCCAGGCATGGTGTGTCATCTTCATTAAGAAACAGTAATGGCGTCCCACTTGTTCCTTTCCCCTCCCTCTGAGAGCACCTGCCTCCTGCTTCCTGGAGGCTTTAGCTACTGATCTGCTTTCCCTGTAATGGGCACACTGGTCCTAGCCTCCCATCGCGGGCCCATGTCATATCCTTTCCCTTCCCCATTTCCGGCCGCTAGGACTCAGTCCCACTCCCAATCATGAAATCTGCCTTGGTTCCTACATGGTCTTTCCCAATAAACCTTTCCTCTCTGCCTATCGGCAGCTTCTCTTTCCGTGTTGGAGGTTCTGCTTCTCTGAAATGTCCCCTCATTGCTTAGTGAAGAGTTGATCATGAAATACTGCCCAGGAGTCATAGGGCCCCAACTGCCCTAAAATTTGGTGTTTCTAGTGCTTATCTCGCCTCATCTCCTCATCTTCCTTCCTCGGGTCAGTGAGGTTGAGATCATGATCTGTGCACCCAGATGAAATGTCTCCTAGGACAACAACAGAAAATACTGTAGCATCAAACCCAGGTCTCCTGAGCGTTGTTACTTCATCACTTTCCCAATTCCTTCTCTGGTGCTGGGATGCCTCCCTGGCTGGCTGGCCCCCAGGAAGGGCCTGCGCCCTGAGTTCTGATGCGATTTTTCTCTGCGTTTGTCCTTAGCTTCATCGACGAGCAACCTGTCCCCGTTAGCACATACCATCTCCGCCCTTCAGCTGATGGCTGCCGCAGGGTAGGTACCAGCTGGAAGTCCTCTTCTCCGGTGCTTAGCTTCTCTGTCCAAGTGCACCGTGGGAGACGGAAGAGAAACTTCCCAGAGACCTGGTTCCACCTTCTGACACTCGCTGGCATGGAAGAACCAAGAAGTTGAGCTTGCTGCTTCTAGAGAGGCCTGTGGGTGTCCTCACCCACCTGCATTAGGACAGGCCCTTGAGGAAGTTGAAGCCTTGACCCACCTCCCAGTAGAACACCATTGCTGGAGAAAGAGAAAGAGCGACCCAGGCGGTCCTTTATTGTCAGCTTCCCTAATTTTCCAGTGCTCCAGGGTAAGGTCCTGAGATGGGAAAGAAAGAGGAGCTGTTCTGCTTGGCAGGAGATGGGCGATAGGAGCAAAAAGGATTTGAGCCTGTCACAATCTGATGCATCCTCACTTCTGTAAGAAGTATCCACGTGGGGCTGATGCTAAGTGAAGGCTCTGGGAGAGTCCCCAGGGGGTCCTAGAAACCAGTGCCAAAGAGCTGCTTGAAAGTCAAGGTTACGGACAGCAGGCTCTATGCATGGCGGGCCTTGCCTCCTCACCAGCCATCCCACCTTCTCAGACCAGCTGCAAGGCCAATGCGGGTGGGAGCTCCCCAGGTATCACTGGCCAGCGCTGGTGCCTGGAAGACAAGCCAGGCGCACTTGGGAGCTTTTTGCTCAGAAAGGCATTGCCTGCCTTCAGAGGTTACAAGCCCTTGGGGAGGATGGTGAGAATAAGAATGGGAAGGGTCCTCCCCTGAAGGCAAAGGGTTTTGGTTTAGGCTGTTGCTGATCCTAAAGGGAATGACAGCCACAGACAAGCAGAGAATACTAACACCTTATCGCCATGGTGATAACCAGCCATTCTTCTCTCTTCCTTCAGGCAAAAATCATCTTTCATCAAAAAAGAAAAGAAAACCTAGTCAGGCCTCCCCCCAATAGAGGCACATCATCTCTCAGAAGCTTCCTGACACTGACAACCTTTTCTGGTCAGAAATTAAATGCCCTGGAACCCTCTGCCCTGGAAAGATCCATGGAGTGACGTCAGTGGGTAAGATGTGGGCAGAGAGCGTGAGCCGAAGCACCTCTGCCTCCTCTGATCCTGGGGGGCCTGTCAGAGATGGTCTTTCCCCCATGGGTGTGTGACGGAACACCCTATTCTTGGGGTCAGGAGACCTGCGTTTTAGTCTTGCTCTGCAGCCGCATGGCCTGGAGGAACCCCTGACTCAGTTGTTTAAGAATCCTGAGACAAATGTGTGGAGATGGCGTGAAGCACCTCAGGAAGCAAGGTGCTGTTTTATTAGACAGGTGGGGTCTTTGAATGCCAGGATCTCCCATTTGGACAATGACTCCCGTCCACTGTCTCAGCAAATCCTCAGAACCCTGTGGGTAACCATGTCCGAAACCATTAGTTTTTAAGCCGCTAAAGAAACCGGCACACACAGGAGGTATGTGCCTTTCTCCCGAGATCACTAGGCAGTAAAGGTAGAGTGTGGACTAGAGCACCCACTTCTGCTTCTCATCTGTGGTCACCTAAAGGCCTAACTTGTTATCATCGTTTAGAATAGGGGTGTCGAACTCAATCAGAGAAGGGGCCAAAATCTAAAATCCAGCCTAAATCGCAGGCCAAATGGTTTACTGAACAGTCATAAACTGTCATTGTGATGGAAACGCAGCGGAGTGCAGTGATGACAGCGCGGTGCAGGCCACATTGCAAGGCCTGGCGGGACGGATTTGGCCCGCGGGCCTTGTGTTTGACACATGTGGTTTAGAGTGACAAGGCCCAGTTCCCATCCTTTGAAGAAAATCAGGAGGAAGACGGTAGCATGCTGGGAAGGAGCTCACCACCTGAGACGCTTGAGGAGAGGTTGACGTGTTGACTCTCTGGGGTGCAGAACAAGGAAAGATTAGAATGATTATTGGGGAATCTGTTCATGTTTCCAGCCAACGTTTCCTGCTATGCTGATGTCCTTTAGCTCCTAGACTTTTCCCAAGGATGAAAAATGTTGCAATGTTGGGACAGGGCTCACAGGGAGAGACTGTAAGAGTGTGTGGCTGAGGCTGTGATGGATGGTGACAAGTCAGGAAGACCATAGGCCCACAGGACGGGAGGCCTCACATCACTTGGCAGGGACCACCTGGAACAGAAAGACGTTCTGCCCTTTGAGTCTGGCTGATTGCTTCCTTTGGTTTCTTACACCTTCTCACCTCAGCGATCCCAGGTCTAGCATGTTCTCACACCACATTTAGACTAGTGTCACAGAACCAGTCACCTATAAAATGCGGACGGGTAATTCAAATGAGAAAAGCAACCCATAAGAGAGAACGAGTGGTAGAGACTGGTGAACTGGAGAACATATCTCAAAGGAGACAGAGACAGCTCCAGCCAGCCAACCAAGCCACAGTTGCCAGAGCTGCTTACTTAGAAAGAAAAATGGGAGGGAGAGAGGGAGGAAGGGAGGGAGGGAGGGAGGCAAGGAGGGAGGAAGGGAAGGGAAAGAAGAAAGTAAGGAAGAAAAAGAAAGGAGGGAGGAGGAAAGGATGGGGGGGGGAGAAGGAAAAGGGGAAAAGAAGAATGAGAAAGTTTAAAATTTTGTGATACTGAGCAGGTTAAACGAAACTTGCAACCTTTGCTTTAAGCTTGAAATTATATTTAGGTCCTAGATCTATCTTAGACAAAATTATGGGAGGGGAAGAAGAGAACCCCAACAATATACCCCTAAGGGCCACAGGCATCTACTGGTAAAGAATAGGCCATGGTCAGGGGGAAGGAAGCTGGCCTATTATGGGCTCTGCATTCATTTTCTATTGCTACCACAAACAGCTGCTCAAATCTTATTGGCTTAACACAACACAAATGGACTGCCTTATAGTTCTGCAGGTCAGAAGTCTAACCTGGAATGCAGGGGCTAATGTCAAGGTCATTGGCAAGACTACATTCCTTTCAGGCAGCTCTAGGGGTGGTTCCCTTTCCTTACTCATTCAGGTTATTGGTAGAGTTTGGCTTTTACAGGTGTAGTGCTGAGGTCTGGTTTCCTTACTGGCTTTTTTTTTTTTTTTTTTTTTTTTTTTCCTGTTTGCAAAAGCCTCAACTCCTTAGTGGTGTATCTAAGACCATTGACAGTTTGACCCAGTCTCGGTTTCCAGGTTCATCTTTCATCGCTCCCACTCATCCATTCCATCCTCCAAATGCCCTGCCCTTTCCTCGCCACCTGGGGAGAAGAGACATCACAGAGGCGACACCTCCTCGTGGTCTCCTCTCTCCTCTCATCATCTCCCCTCTGTCTCTGCTGCATATTCCCCCTGCCCCCTTCTTTGGAGACACCTGTTTGTGCGTGTGCATCACCTGCTAGACTATAGACTCTGTAGGTGCCCCCAACACTGACCTCAGTGACATGCAGACGAGAGTTGCCCCATGAATACACAGCGAAGGCATGAGTAAGCAAACTGCGCGAGGTGCTGGGAGGTAGTGGAGAAAACAGAATTTGCACTCTATATCTGCACTGACCTTACCGTCAGTTATGCTGGCTTCATAGTCATTAGATAGTGCTGGGTGCCAGACAGTCAAATCAGCAATCAGGGACACTTGTGACCAGCCCAAGGAAGAAGAAATACCTACATGTCCTCATGCAAATTTTTTTTTTCCTTGTTCCAGTCATTCTGGATGCTTGAAGAACTTTCTGGTTTTTCAGGAAGCTCGTACGACCCATTCATACCAAAGAGTGACAGAAAGAGGCAGAGGAAAACAAAAGAGAGACTGAGCGGGACCTGCCTTCCACCTTCAGGAGCCTTTTCAGTTTCATGTGTCAGGGAGTGACATGAGATCACCCCTCTTTCTACAGAAGTATGGAAAGACATCTGCCCCTCATTTTGGGTGCCTCCAAACTGATCCAGGTGTCACCCCAGAGGCGGGGGGGCAGCTCACGTGCAGCACCTCGGGGTGCCGGTCCCCACCCCCAACACCTCAACCGGGGCTGCAGGTCATGAATCAGAATAAAGCGTGTTCACATTCACAATCGGGGGGCCTCCTGACCTCTTCTTTAAGAGAAGGGCACAAGCAACAACACGTTGCTCCCCAGAGGGATCCACACATCATTTTCAATTGAAGAGATTAGCCGAGACATTTGCTTCCCATCCTGGATCAGGACTAAGGGCCCTTTGTTCTCATTCAGAGACATTGACACAGGGGCCCTCTCCTGACCCACAGAGTCCAGGCCAGGACGCCCTGCTGCCTTTCCTTCAGAGCTAAGTTTCCCACGTGGCAGATGGGTGTGCAATCCCATCTTTAATCCTTAGTAACTTTGTAGGATCATCCTCAAATGACATAATCTCCCCGAGTCCAAACACCCTTGTGTGTGAAGTGGAGATGACAAGATCTACCGCACAGGGTTGTTTGGAGACTAACGAGATAACATAGGCCACGTGCATGGCCTGGGACCAGAGTTGGGGGCAGGGACATTAGTGGCTGCCCTTCTTCCCACCTCTTCCCTAAACTCCCCAGAGCGTGAAGAAAGTGCTAGACCAGTAGGGGTGCAGTTGAACAGTTAATTCCTGGGGAAATTCTGAATGCATTTCCTCCCACAAGATACATGATTCATGGGGGTTGAGTGGCCAGGATATCCACAAGTCTATTTAATTCCTGCTGTGTATGTAGGAGGAGTTATATATTTAAGATTAGTAGGAGATAAAAAGATTCCCTCCTTGTGCCATTACATGTACTCCCTGACCCCTAACAGATGCTTTCAAATGTTTGCGACCCCCATTGAGCTCTTAGTATGCGACGGAAGAGAGGAATTGCAAGACGTGTTTTACAGGCGAGCTAATGGAGGTGTAGAGAGGTCAAGTCTCTTGGTTCTTGCTTGCATGGTTTCTGAGAAGTTCAATGTAATTCTTGTCTGCACTCCTCTATAGATGAGGCATTTCATCCCTCTGGCTTCTTTCAAGATTTTTTTCTTTATCTTTGATGTTCCACAGTGTGAGTGAGTATGATGTGGCGGTTATTCTTCTTGGTGTTCTCTAAGCTTCCTGGATCTGTGGTTTTGTGTCTAGCATTAATTTGGGGAAATTCTCAGTCATTATTGGTTCAAATATTTCTTTTGGTTCCTTTCTTCTCTTTCTGGTTTTCCCATAATTAATGACCTTCAGAAACAGAGCTCACCAGGCCCAGATGGGTTCCCTGTTAATTCTACCCACATACAATCTCTTTCAGAGGACAGAAAAGCAGAGGTCATGTTCTTAACTCATTCTATGTGGCCAGCATTACCCAAACACCAAACCCAGACAAAGACATTGTAAGGAAAGAAAACCACATTCCTTAAATGTTTTGTTGAACTCACCAGGGCCTGATGATTTCTGCTTTGTAGAGTTGTTACTTGTCGATTGAATTTCTTTAGCAGATATAGGCCTATTTAGATAGTCTGTTTTCTCTTATGTGAATACTGGAAAATTGTGTCTTTCAAGAAATTGGTCCATTTCATCTGGGTTATCAAATTTGTGGCATAGAGCTGTCCCTAGTATTCCTTTAATATCCTTTTAATGTCCATGGGATCTATATTGATGTCCCCTCTTTCATTTCTGGTATTAATAACTTGTGTTTTCTCTCTGTGTTTTTCTTAATAGCTTGGCTAGAGGCTTAGTGATATTATGGATCTTTTCAAAGAACCAGTTTTTGGTTTCATTTATTTTCTCTATTAACTTTCTGTTTTCCATTTCATTGATTTTGGCCCTGATTCTTATTACCGTATTTTTCGGACCATAAGACGCTCCGGACCATAAGACGCACCAGTTTTTAGAGAAGGGAAATGAAGAAAAAAAGATTCTGAAACAAATAGTGTCCTAAAATATTTTATGTGCATTAAAACCCAACATCACAGTCATAAACACATGTAATCAACCCTGTAAAGTAAACAGCAGCATTTAGAACCATTTTAGAGCCGGGCAAGCACACAGAGACCACACAGAGCCGGGCAAGTAAAAAAACTTTTTTTTTAAAGTATATGTGTAGGCTATATTTGGACCATAAGACGCAGGGACTTTTTCCCCCCACTTCTGGGGGGGGAAAAGTGCGTCTTATGGTCCGAAAAATACAGTAATTATATTTTCCTGCTTACTTTGGATTTAATTTGTTATTTTTCTAATTTTCCATTTACTGTAATCAGTAGCATACATATATACAACTCCCAATAATTATGTTATGAGCATGCATCTTTAAAATCCAGAAGTTTAACAGCAATTGTTCTAAGTGTTGAGATTACATAGTAGCATTTATTTTCTTCTCTAAAATTAATTTTCTAGCAGTGAACTAAAATTAAATACACAGACAAATGCAAATCTCACATATTTCAAGTACCATCTGTAATTTTTTATTTACTAGAGGATGAAGTTAAATGCTTAAAGCAGCTCCTTGGAGTGTTGTTTATATTACTGAGAAAGCAAACTAACAATACAAGCAAAAAAGAAATGTATAAACAATCTTTGAAATCTTAACTTGATAGAGCATTACACAATCACTTAAAAAATTACAATTAATCAATATGACATTATATTCTTAATATAATCAATTAAAAAAACAGCATCAGACTGAAATAACACACTGGGGTATCAATTATGCAAAACTCTCCTACGCATACAAACAAAATCTGAGATGAAATAGGGAAATTTTAAAGTTTATTATCATAATGGGAGTATGGCTGTTTTTTTATTTTATTTCTGGTGTTCCCATAGTATTTATCAAATAATATAAACTAGATTTTTTTTTTTAACAAGACACTACTATTAATCTTCTTATAATAAGTTTTATTACTCTTATTCAAAAATTGGCTTATGTCTTAAAGTTCAAGTTTATGTTGATTCTGGTTACTTTTGACTCACCTCGTTAATTTTAAAGAAAACTCACACCCTACAAGTTTTGTTTTGCTTTTGATTTACTTCTCATCCAATAATATACAAGAATCTTAACTAAAGTATGGAAAGACCCTGGCTTTGTCATTGGCTGGGTAGCACTGGGCCAATCACTGAACATGTCTGAATCTGTATTGCATCTGTGAGTGGGCATTACACACCTGACTAGGGGGAAGAGGCAGGATGGGGACTGTTCTTACTTGGGGGCTAGTAGAACTTCACCTTGGAGGGCCACGATCTAGTTCCTCACTTCGTGTCACCAGAGTAGAGAAGCAAATTGAGGACACAGATTCAGGACAGTGGCAAATAAACTGCCCTGGGAAATATGTTCATATTTCCCATGTGTGCCAACATAAAAGACCAATGTGGTGGTGTTTTTTTGCATGGGGGCAGTCTTCACAAATTTCCCACTCATCCTCCATGTTGCTCCAAAGGGCATTAGGGAAATGCCAGTCAGCCAAGAAGGCCTGGACTGTAACTCCAGGGGTAGGAAGGAAGCTACTTTTGGGGTCACTGGTGCCTACCTGGGCCTCCTGAATGCAAATCAGTTACCATGGGGATGAGGCTGTGCGTGGATCAGGTGACTTCCAATCCAGAGCAGAAGTGGGCAGAAGTGCAGTACCGAGAAAAAAAATATCCCGTGGACAGGTGCCTTCAGAACCCTGGAGTGCAGCTAGCTGTCTTCTTCAAGTGGGCAAGGAGGTGAGGCCACACACCAGTGCAGAATTGCTGTCTCTTTTCCATGTCAGTTCAAGCCTTCTACTAAATACCTTTGTAATTCTAAATTCCAACAGTTCTTTAACATTAATAAAAAAAGATCTAAATAAGATTTAAAAAGGAGGAAGCCAGCTTGGCATAATGATAGAAAGGACTGACATATCCATCATACTCACTACAAATCAGAAAACCAAAGCTTAATTTTAAAACCTAACACAATCTTGCTATTCCTAAAACCTTAAACAAAAGTCCTAAGTGTGTTTCTTCCAGCACATCTTAATTTCATCCGGTGACACCCATTTGAGACCGCCTCCTCGTCAGGAAGTTCCCAAGATCCTGTTTCTCCCTGCTCCTTCCATTGCAAAGCTCCATTTTTACCCCCATGAGGAGGATAAGTAGAAAGCACGGCAGACTTACTGCCAGAAATCGGTTCAAATCAAGACAGTGACACTTCCCAGCTGTGTATTAGGCTGATCACCTTGTCTCTGACCTTCATTTCCTCATCTAAAAAAAGAGGATCGCACTGGCCTGCCAGGATTGTTTTGAAAACTAGGAGATAAAATAGGCAGGTGTAATTTAGAAATGATAAAGTACCATAAAAATATAAAGTAGTGTTGTTACTCATATATGAAGAGATGGTTCATTCATTTCTGAATGAATTTTTATAGAACATTAACTTATGGCGGACACTTTGCTAGGCAGAAATTATATATATATATATATATATATATATATATATATATATATATATACACACACACACACACACACACACACACACACACACACCCCACACACACACACAGGGTGGGGCAAAAGCAGGTTTACAGTTGTTTGTATGGCAAAGAATGTAGTTAATAGACAATACAAGAATAAGATGTTTCACAAAGAATACAGTAATTAATACATAAGAATAAACTGCTTCACATATAGCTGTAAACCTACTTTCCCCACCCTGTATATATCACTGGTCCTAAGGAGCTTAGATTCCTGAGTATATATCACTGGTCCCAAGAAGCATGTTCACGGTGAAGTGTGCTCCCATGTGGCTCTGGGAGCTAAGGAGCCAGAAGGAGCACTCAGACTGGGGTGTAGAGCACTCGGTGAGGGTGCTCAGAGGACTTCTGAGGAGGTGACACTGGAATTGGCTCACTGCAGATCCAAAAGCAAAAAAACAAACCCAAGTCACTCCTGTGTGAGCCAGCCCACACACTCCATGGTCCTGGGGCCTGAGCCAGTTTGAAAGGATCCCAGCCCCTTAAGGCCGAGTTTCTCAGCCTCAGTCCCACTGATATTTTAGGCTGGATAATTCTTTGGGCGGGGGGGGGGGGGGGGGGGGGGGGGGGTTCTCCATTGTAGAATGTTTGGTAGTATCCCTGACCTCTGTCGTCTAGGTGCCCGTAACATTCCCTGGCCCTCAGCTTTGACAACCAAAAACGTTTCCACACACTACCAAATGACCCCAGAGAGGCGAAATTGCCCCTGGGTTAGTACTACTGCCTTAGGACCATAAAAACTTTAAGGTCATAGAACCAGTGCAGGTGGTTCTAGAAAAAATGAAATTTTTAAACATATCAGTGCCTTGACTTATACTATGCTGAATGAGTGAATGAATGAATGAATGAATGAATGGGTGAGCCACCTGGAGCCCCTTTGATATAATTCTTTTAGGTCTCATCATCAGAATGTTCCCTGGGCTAGTAAGTTCTCAGATGCTTAAGTGAGAGGTAGCAATACCACATCCATTTATTCAGTGCTCTCTACAGGTTGTATGATCTGGGACAAGTAGTTCAAACTCTTTGAGTCTCAAGTTAATCAGTTCTAATATGGGGATAGTAACCAGTGCTGCAAGATCATTGGGATAATTACATGAGATAGTTGATGTGAAGCATATAGTATTAGAGGTCTAGGTACTCACTCCTTCAGTGCAATGGACAAGAGGCATTTCAGCAGGATGCCCTCTGGCTACTGCTTCTAATCTTTACACCCAAAAAAGCACCAGGGTAATTTGAGCACACACACACACACACACACACACACACACACACACACGTAGGGACTGCCTGACACATTGCCAGGAACTGACATTATCCACCCAACTCACAAGCAACCAGGTTGGTTAAGAGGCCCAGAGAGCTGTGATTTGCCCGGGACCTCACAGCTAATAAGGACCTCAGAAGGCTCAGCCCGTACTCAGAGCCGGCTAGCCTGCTGGCCACCATTGCCCCCGTCACACTGGGGTCTGGGTGCATTGTGAATTTTGGGGAAATGCTTTGCATATTTTGTGTTCTGTAGTCTCTTATAGACGTAGATGACCAGATCAGGAAATTTCTCCTGAAAATACCGGGGAGGGTCTTGAATTTTCGACATCATCCTGAAATGAAATGTAAATATTTTGGCAGGCATGCTCCCAATTCTTCCCCCTTTATAACACACAGCCTGGAGATCACTGTGCTCCCAAGATCTATAATAATAAAAGCGTAAGATGCTAATTAAACCAGATATCCTTCTGGATGACCTTCCAGACGAAGCCAGGTCTATGAGAGCTGAGACAGCCAGCCACCAAGGTAGGCAGGGACCAGTACAGAGGCAGCTGCTGTGGTGGCTGGGGCCTGAGCCCCTTACATGAATTTCATGCATCAGGCCTTTAGTTTCTCTAGAAGAGTGAATAAGGACTGAGCAAGGAATAAGGAATCTGACAGAGCAAGAGTCATCTCCTGACTTTTCACTAATTGTGTGAACTTGGGCAATGTGATGTTTGTGAACCTCAGTTTTATCATCCATGAAGTGGACATAATACAGTTCCTTATCTACATTTTCAAAATCCTGAAGAGCCCTAGGAATGGAAAGTTGGTGGTGGTTGTGTTTTTTAATAAGTTTACAGCTAACATTTTTGGCAGCAAATGCTGATTTAACTAACATGGGGCTACTTCCTAGATTTTTACAATGTTACATTCACTTTACCCAGCTTCCCAGTCTGCTGTGGTTCCACAAGGAAGTCTAAGGCTGTGTTCAATGGGACTCAGCAGAAGTTAAGAAGGAAGATGAGCACTAACCGGTTTGGCTCAGTGGATAGAGTATCGGCCTGTGGATTGAAGGATCCATGGTTCAATACTGGTCAGGGGCACATGCTTGTGTTGCAGGCTCAATCCCCAGTAGGGGACGTGCAGGAGGCAACCAATCATTGATTCTCTCTCATCATTAATGTTTCTATCTCTTTCTCTCTTTTCCTCTCTGAAAATCAATTTAAAAAAAAATTTTTTTTTTTTACAAAAAAAAAAGAAGATGGGAGCCTGCCGGTCACCTCCATCATTCATTGTAAGGCACATGTAATGGCCCTTTTCCCAACACAGGCGAGGAGTTACTTTTCTTTCATCAAAATTATTTGTGCTCTTCTTATCAAATAGCAGGTATAAATTCAGAACTGGATTTTTAGATCTTCTCATTTCAAATATGACTTACTGGAATGAAACCAGTACTTACCATTTATTCTTTTCTTCACTAATGTGCTCCCCCAAATGCCGGATGAACCTTAGCAAATCACCCACAGTGTCCTCATACTTCATATATTTTTTTTTGTAAAATGAATTCATTTCTTTAAGTATGTCTTCGTCAATCTAAACAAAAACAAAACCAAAAAAAAACACATTTCATAAAAATGTGGTAACAATGCAAAATAAATCCTGGCGACATACAAATTTGAATATGTGTCTAAAATCACTACTATTCAAAAAGCAGTGGTAATGATAGTTGTGTTTGGATATGGGATTCGGTAACTAAATTTGTCTGTTTCCAAGTTGTTCTCATAAGAAATTAAATATATTAACACACGGCTTAGAAAATCTTTGGCCACTATGTTAGGAGGTGTGCTCATGATACTATACCGTACTGTACTTTTATCCGTGTGGCCAGCCCTCCAAAATGATCATGGTTGTTTCTGTTTGTTTGTTTGTTTGTTTGTTTTTTCTTTTGAATTATAGTTCCAAGGGGGTTCCATATTTCTCCTTGCCTCTAGGAGTCCCAAGACAGCTTCTGTCATAATAATGCCTCCTTCTTTGTGCTGGCACCCTTGTAGAGGGCTTCGTATTTAGAAAGAGTTTGGAATAAGGGAGCAAGACGCAACAACCATGAGGCCATAGGAAGAGTGAGTGGCTAGAGAAGACCTGTTGAGACTGTCCACGTGTACTCTGTGTGGAGCACATGTGGGAAATGCTGAGCCACATGTATGTGGTGAGGTGGGGAAGGAAGGCAGGAATATACATCAGGAAACTTGGCTCTGGACTTGAGCTGCCAAAAACTGATTGTACGACCATGAAAATGGGCAAGCCACCAAAATCAACAGGAAAAAATATACAAAGTCTAAAATGGAAATTAAAAGACAAGGCCTGAAGCTCATCAAAATTAAATGCAAGTCAATGCAGTTTAGGGGAAGCAACTAATGAATTAGGGAACAAAATAATAGGGTTCTCTTCCCAAATCTGCCAATCTCTGCCTTGCTAGTCCTGGGTATTGTGGGAGCCTCAGTTTCCCAGGCAACTAAATAGCCGGGTGAGCCTGATGGCATCATAGTGCTGTGCAGTTGAGTGGCTTTAGTGTGCAGGTTCCGCCACCAAACTGCTCCAACTTCAAATCCCGCCATACCCCTTACTGGCTCTCTGCCTTTGGAAAAATTGTCTGTGCCTCGGTTTGCTCACCTGCAAAATGGAGATATTTGCTTCAGAGGTTGTTATAAGGATTAACTGTGGTAACTCACAGAAATCCTCACAATTGTAGCTGCCATGTAGTCAGCACTACATAGTCATTACCTATAACTGTCATCTACTCTGGTTTCTCATTTCTCTGTTTCTACGAGTTTAAGTCTTAGCTGAAGCTGACATTTATGAATGTGATGTGAAATCTAGAGTCAAGTGAGGGAAGGAAAGCCAAATGAAACCCAGAAACAAAGACGTGTGGGAGAAGCAGAGTCCTAGATTGGCCTAAGATGGGAAAGCTGCTGGTCTCAGTCAAAGACCTAGAGGTTAGGGATTCTCCCATAGTGCTTTGTACCTGTCTCTGGGCACCCAGCATGTATCATACAGCCATCATTTATGAGTCTCCTGGCCCTACCTGGGCCATGCCATACTCTCCTTTGTATACTTATGACCTCATATGGGCCTAGCACATCACCTAGTACTTGTTGGATGTGTGCTAATTAAAAATAATGCAAGTTCTGATAGTATTGACTAGATCAAGATGGTGATTTATTTTGATGTTCCACTACATTTTTTTCAAGTTAGGTGAACCTTTTCTTGAAGAGGAGAAATTTGGAAGATCATCTCTTCTTCATAGTCTGCTTTCTCCAGCAGAATGTAGGTGTGTGATGTGGATGATCCTCAAAGCTGGGCTGTTCACAGGCAGCAGAGGCCCTTAAAGGCCGCAAGATGGCGCACTTCCTCTGGATTCAGCTCTATCTAGTCAGCTGCTCTTGTTACCACGGCAATAAAGTCATTAGCCAGGCTCTTCTCAGAAAGTAAGTCTTACGGGAAAGAGCCACAGAAAAGGCAAAGGCTCGTGGCTGGGACAAGACTATCGTAAAGAAGAGCTTAGATGGGAATCTGTTAGGAGGGCTTGTCCTCTAAAAAAAAAAAAAAAAAAAAAAAGAGGGGGGGGGGAGGGGGCGGCACTGGGCCGGGCAGAGACCCAAAAGGTAGAGAGGACTTGGATGGGGAGGAAGAAAAGGGAAATCCTTTCTTTCACTTCTTGGTTGGGCCAGTCCAACAGTATATCAAAATGAAAAACTATGATAAAACATTACACAGCTTCTTATCCCTTAAATAACCCCAGACCGTAGGAATTGTTCATACCTTAGAGGTCCACTTAGCAAAACTTCTGGAAGGTTCTAACTGTCCCGGTTGCAGTAGTTGGAGGATACTGAGTTCTTGGTTCTGTTCTTTTGGCTTTTTGATTTTTTTTTTACTTTTGATGTCGGATTCATTTCCCACATCCCTAAGGGTTCTATAGCGTCTGAGGATGACAGAATTATCATGGTCACTCCATCCTTCCCACTCTTTCCAGAAAGACAAGACTGTTAGAGTTTGGTTTTTAATAGAAGTAATAAAACTATGTATTTAAAAATTCTGCATGATATGAGATACAGGTATCTCTCTCTGTTTCTCTCTCCCTATTCTTGAGAAGAGAGAAACAGAACCCAGAGAGGTTAGGTCACCACTCCAAGGACACACAACCGGAAATGCCCAGGTGGATCTGCTGATTCTCAGCCTGACTCCCACTGTGATGGTTAACTTGACTAGACAAAGGGTGCCCAGACTAAACAGTATTCTGGCCGTGTTTGTGAGGGTGCTTCCAGATGAGATTGGCGTTTAAATCAGTGGGCTCAGTAAAGCAGTTTGTCCTCTCCAGTGTTATATATATTTCCTATGGGTTCTGTTTCTCCAGAGAGCCCTGGCTAATACACTCACTGTCTCCATGCAGGGGCCTGTGACATACACTTAAGTTTTACTCACCTCTCCCAACTCCAGAAGAAAGGATGACCCTGCAGGTCACTCAGAAGGTTCTCTACATTTTCCCCAGGAGAGAACAGCTGCTCAATGAGGTGCTGAATTTCTTCACTTGGAGACAATGTAATCACGTCTTCATTGCTTTGAGTCTTCAGGGTCTCAAAAGGAATGTCTCCCTTCCTTACCACATATAGGACCAGCCTTCCAAGGGCCTGCACCAAAACCAGCAATCAAGCCAAATTTGCTTATGCATGATCACTCTAGTTGGGTAACTTTGGAGTGGTGGGGTACAGGCTAGGGGCAAATATGGAAAATGGGAGGAATCTCAAGGAGTCCGCAGACTGGTTAGAAAGAGAAGACACAGGTTTATGCAGAGAGAACTCTTTCAGGAAGTATGTAGTCCTCACAGTTCAGGTTTATAAGGAGGAAAAGCTAATCCTGGGCCAGAGTTGCCAATACAGACTACCTGGAAAAACAGGAATTTGAGCTGGACCTATCAAAGTATGGATAGAGGTTAGATAAACATGAGAAAGAGATAAGGTTTTAAACCGGGCAGGGGGAAGAGGGGATGCCAGGAGCTGGGAACTGGGACTTTGGGTTAGGGTTATGTCAGGCAGCAGGTAAAGGAGCCAGGCCATGTCCAGCAGGATATAGTGATGGGCCCAGGGGTTAGGCCATGACAGGGAGGAAAAGCCAAGGAGGAGGCCAGCATCGGAATGCCTGCATCAGGCAAAAGACACCAATCAGGGAAGGAGCTGAAATCTGGAGCCATTGAACCACCAAGGTCAAAGGGATGAAGAGCCCTGGCCCATTGGGGTGAAAGTTCAACACCCTGGAGACTCCAGGAGAGATCTGCCCTGACCCGATTGGAATCAATGGGGAGCTTTGGTCTTCAGAGGCCAAGCTCTGTCTCCACACAGAAGAACCAGTTATTTCAGGATCTTCTTCTTTTTAGCCAAACTTAGTCTCTTTTGAGCTGGGGATCCCACCCGGGTGTTTTCTTTGGAGTTTGAATGGAGTGGGAAAAGACACCGTATTTACTTGGTCCTTAGGCAGAAATTACTTCCTACGGGAATTCTGGAGCTGTTTTGGAGATACCTCTTAGAAGTGATTTGAGAATGCTCAATTTATTTATTTATTTATGTAACTAGTGGAGAAAGAAAGAGGTCCAAAAAAGACACAGAAAGAAGCCACAGCAACAACCAATCCACACCAGCCTAGGGAAATGCCATTGTCTGCAAGGGAGTGACAGCAGTGAGCAATGGGGGAATGCATTGAAAGTTCTTTCCTTCCTGATTAAAATAGAGATGTCCTCTAATTGGCCATAGAATATAGCGTAATGAATGAATAAGGAAGCAGAAAGATGGAAAAGTTAGCCACCTACAGAAATTACCTCTAGATCGGTCATGACTTGCTCTGGCTCTTCAGCCCTCTTAATGCTTTTATCAAAATCTGCCACACGAACAGCATTCTTGAAATCTAAGGAACAGTTTGTAGAGAGTGGTGCATTGAAAATCCTCATTCTCCATGCTGTGAGTAATTCACTTAAATGAATATGTAACCCAGTGGGCAATGCATCATCTCTAAAGAAGGCAATAATAAAACTTAGGTCTGCATTGCTGTTTGTTCCTCAAAACACGCATGTGCCCTGTGTTGTTTGACCTATGAAGCATCTGCCAATAGCAAGTCTTATATTTTACTTTTTCCAAGCCAGGGGGTGGGGAAGGACGAGGAGACATTTAACCAGCACTCCGTATTCATGCAGTTCCTGGGGTTAACGAGCAGACATTTGTAAAGGAGCTATTGGCAGAGTTAAGGTTGCCTCCTATGGCTAAAGAACAACTAGCCACAAGGCTCCAAACCCAAGGCCATCTTAGCATACTACTCCATAACCTAGCATAATAAATCTAGCCGGATAGCCACCGCCCACTATGACACTGTCATCGGTTACCATGGATCCACCCTGTGCTTGTGATGAGTCACTGCCTCCTTGCCCTCTTCAGAATCTTTCTTCCTTGAAGGAAGCCACTGAGTCCTCAGAAAGAGGGATGCAGGGATGAGAATGGTCAGGAACAAGATGACAGGGGCAGAGGGGGGGTGGGGCAAGTCAGTGATTTGTCATCAGAGAGATGGCTCCTGCCTTTGCTTCCTGGAGTCTGAGAAGGAAGGCTGGGCGACCCCATACAGATGATGGCCAGAGGATTGTGTGCTTCTGGAGCCCCTTTTATTGTAAACCTCGATATCCTGTGTGGAAATCCATCAAATTATTCAACAAGTGTTTAGTGAAGGGAAAGGGCCCGTGAAAAGGGGAACACGGTCTCGGCCTAGGGAGTGTAGGGTCTTGGTGTGAAGAGACAAATAATTACAGATACACATAAAATGCATTGCAATTTGAAAATGCAGGCCAAAAGGGCAGGACATTCTGAAAGTGTCTTCCTAAAAGAGTTACGTGGCTGGGGTGGGGAGGAGTCGTCTTTATGAGTAGAGTCTGGGTAGGTGAGCAGTGTGGAGAAGAGAGAACTCCAGATAGGAATTCCTGAGACAGAAAGGAACCTGGAGAATTCCACCATGACAAAAAGAAGGCCCAGAGAGGAGGAATTAAGTTAGAAAGTGGCTTGTGAGGAGGTTGAAGGGGTAGATGGGGGGCAGATCATAAACCTTAGATTGTTTTTCAGTTATAAGAACGGGTAAATTCCCTTCATGTGTTTAAGCCACTGGAATGCTTGCTTGGAATCTTTTTCATTGTATTGCATCTTGTCTTGGCATCTCCAGTTTTGACCTATTTTGCCATTAAGGTTCACAGTAACTGCCACCTTGTCTGAAGGAATACACCTGCAGGATCCTCTGACCTGAAGACTGTTCTGGAATCCAAACTTCTGGAGCTAGCTCCAACCAAGACATACCTTCATATGTGTATTTGCCAGAGGCTGGTATTCCATTAGCAGCCATGACCTCTATGCGGAGGAAGGGTTACAACTGGGAGCAGGAGAGACTGCACTGTACTTATGATTTTGTTGCATTAACCCTCAACTGAACAATCCACATTTACTCCAGTCCTTTCCCATCTGCCATGAAAATGCTTTCCTTTTGTCAACAAGGACCCCACAATTTCTAAGAGACAACCGGGGACTCACCTATTAAGATGTTTTGTGGCTGTAGATCCTGGTGAGTGTATCCACATGACAGGATACACTCCACGGCCTTAAATATAGAGGAGAGGACGTTTCGGCTAAACTCATCTTCCTCGTTTTCCACAGCCTCGTTTTCGGCCAAATGCATCTCCAGTGTCTGCTCGCAGAGGGAGGTGCACACATACAGACAGCCCTTGTGGATCTCATGCCCGTAGAATGTCACCAAGTTACTGTTCCCGCGGATGCTCTGCAGACAGGAGAGTTCCTGTTGTCCACGACTGCTGTCTTCAGAGAATCGCTTCACAGCTACCTCTTGCTCGTCATAGAACCCCAGGTAGATGCCTCCTTCTGAACTGTCAGCGATTTTATATTCTTCATCCCTGAAGATCTTGAGTCTGCCGATCATAGGGCGGTATATCCTGTGGAGATGTTTCAGGGCCTGCCCCCAGCGTGAGCTCTGAGGCTCCCAGTCTTTGGCAGGAGGGTGATAATCTTCTCTGGCTCCATGCTGGAGAAGAAGCTTTACAAGGGAACTGTTGTAATTGCGCCTCGCTAAGCTAATGAGGTTCCCACAATCCGTGCTGGCTCCTTTGTCGCACAGCAACTTGGCAATAGCCTCCAGATTGAGTTCGACAGCCCACAGCAGTGCTGTTTTGCCCTCACTGTCTGTGTCGTCAATCTCTATATGTTTTTGTTCCAGAAACATCCGTACCAAAGTCAAGTGCTTCTTTTCCACTGCCAGGATCAGGGGCGTCTTCCCTTTTTCTCCCCTCACATTGACATCGGCCCCATGGTGCAACAGAAGTCGGATGATGGCCTCCATGTTACTGTCATCAGTGTTCACAAGAGCGTGAATTAAAGCATTCCTGCCCATGTTGTCACGAGCTTTGGCATCTGCCCCCATCTCTTCGAGAAGGATCCTCACGGCATCTTCCCGTCCATTCTTAGCAGCATCCATGAGAGCTGTGGCCCCCCCTTTCTTAAGCCTCTCTTGGTCCTCCATTGTCTTTCGACCCAAATTTACTTCTGCTCCCTTCTCATACAGGAATCTTAAGGCTTCGACCTTGCCATACACAGCGGCTTCCATGAAAGCTGTGAAGCCATGAAAATCCCACTCGTTGATATCTGCACCTTTTGAAAGGAAAAGTTCGAGCAGCCTCACATTTCCCACAATCCCAGCGACAATGAAGGGAGTAGCCCCATTCCTCTTCCTCAGACCAGGGTTAGCACCGGAGCGAAGCAGAAGATCCACCATGTCCTCGTTGTTCATTTGTACTGCATTATGCAGAGGAGACCAGCCCCCTTCCTCTTCCTGGAAATTGACATCAGCCCCTCCTTCCAGCAATTGCTTGACCTGCTCCATGTCATCTTTTTTAACGGCTTCTATCAACAAATGATTGTTGTCCCCTGAAGTCCCCCCATTGCCAGAGGGGGAGGGTCTGTCCTGGGTCTCCATTGTCTCCATGGTCATAAATACCACTGGTTACAACGTTTTGCCTTGGAGAAAATGAAAACTTATCTCCTTGGGACTTGATCAAAGAAACATGGGGCTCTAGAAACTCCTGTCACGATAAATAAGGATTATCGGACCACAGATGAGCAGTATGAGGAAGGACAATACCCTGAGAGTCTTCTGACATTACACCTGGAGACAAAAAAGGTATTTTGTAACTTTACAATAGTCAGAAAACATTTGAATTAGAAAAAAATGAATTTTACTAGCAACTTTTTTAAAATACACCCTATTTATTTATTATAGAATGTTAGTTGGTCTGAAGGTTGTGGGTTATTGTTAAGCTGATTAACATTATTTATTATAGAATGTTGTATTACATAATATCATAAATATCTATACTAATAAAAGGGTAATCTAATGAGACCGGGAGACCTTCCGGACGTCCTTCCGGACAAAGCCATGGTGGTGGGGCTGAGGCAGAGGCAGTTAGGGGCGATTAGTTAGGAGGGGAGGGAAGTTGGGGGTGATCAGACTGGTAGGAGGGGAGCAGTTGGGGGCAAGCAGGCAGGCAGGGGGGGGGTACTTGGGGGCAAGAAGGCCAGCAAGAAGGGGGAGTTGGGGGTGAGCAGCCCATCTGGCAGAATGGTTAGAGGTGATCGAACAGACAGGCAGGTGAGCCATTAGGGGCCAGTGGTCCTGGATTACGAGAGGGATATCCACAGGGACCAGGCCTAAACCAGCAGTCAGACATCCCCCAAGGGGTCCCAGATTGGAGAGGGTGCAGGCTGGGCTGAGGGACAACCCCCGCCCCACCCCATACACAAATTTTGTGCACCGGGCCACTATTACATATATAAAGTCAAAAAATGAAAAATATCACTCTATAATCCCATTACCCAGAAATAGACAATGGCAATATTTTAGAATATTTCTATAGATTTAAAATATAGTTGGGATCATGTTGTATAAAGTAACTTTGTATCCTTCCTTTCATTTAATGCACATTATAAATAATTTTCTATGTTATTACAAAGTCTTTTAAAACATTTTAAATGACTGTGTAATATACTATCACTCAGTTGTTTCATTTCTCTAGTGTTAAGCAATTTTTTAAATAAGTTTTTAAACAAGATGTTTTAAAGGAGAATTTTCAAATAATTCTAAATCATGTTGCAGCAAACTTGTGTTACTTTAGCGTGTTTTCTTTTGCTAGATCTTATAATAGAGTTCTTATGATAGATTTCAAAGAATTGAATGACTAATGAAAGGATAGGAATCTTTTTAGGATTCTCCACCTATATTAATAAATTCCTTTCAATGTCATTTAAGCACACTCTGACTACAAATAGATAGCCTCCTTAAAAAAAAATTGAAAAGCAGAACTCTTATTTAAAAAACAAACAAACAGGTAGCTTTTTGCGTTTCTTATATCACAGGAAGGTTGGTCACTCTCGGTGTGTTCATGCCTTCTCTGTGCACGCCTTCTCTGTGCACTGTGTGCTCCTATTCCAAGGAGTTTAGAGTGGTAAAGCGCGGAGACCCAACCTCAGCAAGATCTAAGTTTGAGCCCCTAGTTGTGTAACTTCAGACTATTTTGTCCTAATTGTGGAACCTTATCTTATTGAGTCTCAGAAAATTGAGGAACAACAATAAGCATGGTCAGCTGTATAAAGTGTATTAACGCAGGGGTGTGTGGCAAATATTGGGCATTCAGTAAATGGTGGAGCTAATTATGCCTCTTTATTTTAAAAAATGCCAACGAATCCTATTCTCCCTACCCATGTACATAAACTTACTACACAAATGGGACCTGGGAGTGTCAGTTTAGTCCAACTGCCCTCAATCAAAACAGAGCAAGTTAGACCCAATTTAAGCATCAGACTGCACCAGAGTGTTCTCTGAATATTTGCTGCATCTGCTCCCAAATTCACACCATATTTCAGCTATCTCACCACTGTCTCAAAGTCTCCAACCTCTCAGGTCTAAATCAATGGTGCTGCCTAAACACTATCACCCAGCAATGAAACCATTGATCCAAATGTGTCTGTGAGAGCTGAGAGGGGCCAGTCTCAGGAAAGGCGCAGAGAAGGAAAGAAACCCTGAGTGAAATAATCAGAGTGGAGGATAGATCATCCCAACAAAAGCAGGGTAAGGGATCGTTCTGCTTTCAGTTTCATTTTCCCCTTTGACCGGAAATGTCTGGCGAACAGAGCCGACTTGAATAAATACTGTGTGGATTGTGGCAGAACCTTGGCATTCTCAAGAAGGCTCATGGCTCAAGGACCCTGAGGTGCCTCTGCCTCTCCTTTCTCTCCCAAAGTCCCCACCCTTTCACTTCCAGTCCCCAGAGAACCCTTCAAAGAAAAGAACTTCTCAGTCTTTTCCAGCTCTCCCCCTTCTGCTCATCTTACCTTCTCAACTCTGTGGCCTCCTCTGTTACTTCCAGTCAGCACCTACTCTTCAAATACTGTTGCCAGCAGAAAAAAAAATTCCTTCTAGTCACAGTCACTGAGCCAGGGGGGCGGGGCCAAGCAAGGAGTGACCAGGGAGCTAAGGGAGGGTAAACTGGCACACACCCACTCCCTCTGGAAGGCGGAGCCTGTGCAGCAAGGGCTTTTAGATCTTCTCTGACTGCTGGTGACCAATTTGATGCCCGAGGTCATGCTACTCAGCTCTCAGTCTTTCAGGTCACAGCCTCCAGCTTGATTCTTAACCATGTTATTCCAAACCCCCTATCTTCTTGAGTGGATTTCCCAAGGAGTGGGAAATAAACATTTATTGAACACTGACTTGGGGGCCTGACACTCATTGCTTCACTGTCCCAGTTACTCCCTAACAGTCGTGCTGATGATGGAACTGTGACTCAGAAAAGTTAATGTTAGCCTGAAGTCCAAGCTCCCTCACCCGTCTGGGCACACTCAACTCACTGTCCTAAAAGGGCATTTTGCTGGCATTCTGGAGACCTTGTTCTATAGCCAGACCTGTGACTACTAGTATTTATAATTTATTATTGATAGAACTGTAGCTATTTAACTGAGTGACCAGGTGGGCAATTAACCAATGTTGGGCCTCGGTTCTCTCGTGTAATATGATTTTTAAGTTCTGTTCTTGGCCATTTTCCTAGCATTGAGCTGTATACTGTGTACTGAATGCTACAGTAGAAAGTATCCCTACCTTCAAAGAATATCCAGTCTTGCTGGGGAGACAAACTCCAGAGAGAGTCATGAATAGCTAGCAGAATGTGGTTGCATGATGTTCGTCAGTGTCATGCCATCCAGACTCTGAGTCTTTATTGCCCCTTCCACCCCAATGACACCCAAGCCTCTTTCTCTAGCCCTAGCTTCTTCGTTGAGCTTCAGACTCACAAATCTTGACTATGTACCAAACAGAGACCAGCACCTCTCCCCCAGTCTGTTCCTTCTCTTTCTCCAACTCCATAAATAGCTGCCCCACCTGGCTGCTACTCTTCATCCTCCTCCCAATACCAAGTCCCCTACTTTTACCTGCAAAGCAATGACTAACCTCAGCCCTTGTCATAGCTTATTGCAAGAAACAGATGACTCACTTCTTAGCCTCTAATCTAGTGTCCTACCTGCTTCGTTGACTCACCATAGTTTTTAGGACAGAGTTCAAAATACTTAACCCGTCATCCATTCAATCAATATTTATTGAGCACTAACTGTGTCGCCAGTGACCAATCTCAATGCTTGGGATAGAGTGGTTTACCACACAAGTTCCTCAGGCAAGTTCTTCATGGAACTTGCATCTTAGTTGGCAGAAATAGGTCATAAACCATTGAAAAAAATGCAGCACATGACATGATTTCAAGTTATGCTACAGTTCCTGACTGTCCCTGCTTTTCTTGGGCATCATCACTGCACCTGCCACTATCATCCAGGTCTTTTCTTCATCACATCACACTTCTTCCCACCTCCCGATCTCTGCTTTTGCTGCCTGAAATACTAACAATAATAGTAATAAGAATGGCCGAAACCGGTTTGGCTCAGTGGATAGAGCATCGATCTGCGGACTGAAAGGTCCCAGGTTCGATTCCAGTCAAGGGCATGTACCTTGGTTGCGGGCACATCCCCAGTGGGGGACATGCAAGAGGCAGCTGATCGATGTTTCTCTCTCATGGACTTTTCTAGCTCTCTATCCCTCTCCCTTCCTCTCTATAAAAAAACAATAAAATATATTAAAAAAAAATAGTAATAAGAATGATAATGATGATGATGATGAACTACATTTATGTAGCTCTTTAGTATGCTCCAGGAACTATTCTGAGCTTTTCAAATATATTAAAATAGTCAAATCCTTGTGAGGTAGGCACTATTTTTGATCCCATTGTACAAGGAGGACATTGAGGCACAACGTGATTAAGTAACTTGCCTTGTTCTAGGGATGTGGGCTATCTCACTGAACAACATAGAGAAAGATGCCTCATTTTTATTGGAGAAGGCAGACAATGAACAAAATAAGTAAATTGTATACAATCCGCTCTATGGTGAAAATGCTACAGAGAATAGTGAAGCAAAATAAGAAGGGTTGAAATGGGAATTGGAAGTCAAGGAGACTCAAACGCCATAATCTAGGCCTAACTGCATTCCATGCCTTACTCTTAGGGCCATTTTTTTAGTTATTTACATTTCAAATTTTTTTCTTTATAAGGAAATTTGAATAGCTGGACCAATTTAAAAGGTTCAGAGGCAGTGAATTATGTTGAGATCAGCACTTAATATGTCCCAAACACTTTTTTTCTCTTTTCCTAAGAGCTTCAACTTTTTTCTCATTTTTCAAATTTTATTGAGAAATAATTGAAATACATCACGGTATATGTTTAAGGTGTACAGCATAATGGCTTGATTTACATATATTGTGAAATGATCATCACAATGGGCGTAGCAAACAGCCATCATTTCATAGAGATACATTAAAAAGAGAAAAATTTTCTCCTATGATGAGAACTCTTATGATCTATAATCTTATCAGTTTTCTTATATATCATACAGCAGTATTAGCTACATCACCATGTTGTCCTATGTACTATGTACATGACATTCCTAGTAATTATCTCATAACTAGAAGTTTGTACCTTTTGACCTTTGACCTTCCTCCAGTTCCCACACACACACACACACACACACCCTGGCTTCTCACCACAAATCTGACCTCTTTTTCTACAAGTTTGGGGGGCTTTTAAAATTAGATTCTTCATATATGTGAAGTCATGCAGTATTTATCTTTCTCAGTCTGATTTATTTCACTTCGCACTATGCCCTCAAGGTCCACCCATATTGTCGTAAATTCTACTCTCACTTAGGCCAGCTGCCCTGGCCACATTTCCTCCCTCTGGGAGATTTCATTTCCTCATCTGTATTATGGGTAATGCTCCTTAACCTCACAGAGCTGCTGTAAGGAATAAATGAGACCAGGGCCCCCCAAAATGTTGGTTCTCATCTTCCTTTTCCAGGCTCTTAAACTCAGAATCCCTCAGTCGTCACCCACAGAATCAGTCACCTCTTAGATCTGGGTTTAGTGTGTGATTCCTGGGGTTTTCTACCCAATGTACCTGAAGTCTGGTCATTTTATTCAAACGAATAGCAGGGGAGAAATAAAAGTCAACATTAGGTCCAGATTTGTATATGAACAGATAATTCAACATAGGGAAGAATATATATATATATATATATAATGAGAGAAAGAACTAGAGATCAATAGAGTGAGAAAGGAGAACAGATTTGGATCCTTGCAAACCTTCCCCCAAAGTTCTCAAGCCCCACTCACCCATTATTCCCTCCCTCAGTCCACGGTGTGTGGAATGGAACAGTCTCACACACAGAGTGGCTTGCCCTAGCTCATCTCAGAGACTTCAATGAAATGACTCCAGAATACGACTTGGAGTGCATATGAAGTCATAAAATATTCATGCAAGCGGAAAATGGGCAAAAGTAAAAATGGCTGCCACCTGATGATGTCTAGCTACTGGACCAAGGGGAGCAGCCCCTTGTGCTGGTACAGGCAGAGCTGGTCATGGCTGTGCTGTCTCTATCCAGAGGACAAAATTCTCCCTGATGCCGCCTCCTCTTCCATCCCACCAGTTCCCAGCCAAATGTGAGTCTTTCATCACCTGTGACAGGGAAGCTCACCCCTCTGTCCAGTGGGACTTGTGGAGGCCAGTTCCTCCACAGGACTCTCTCCCCCCACATCCCCTGACCACACACACACACATACACACACACACGCACACACACACACGCACGCCCATGGAGACAGGACCTCATGTTGGGGTTTTATTTTTATTTTACAAGAATATAACATGCTGTAACAGGAAACACAGGGACTGAGTACATCATCTGTATCTCGGAAACCAGCTTCAGTTGTCAACAATAAATAAAATATTTCAATAATGAGGAATTCCTGGCAGGCGCAAAGAGGTTCCCAGGTCGTCCCGAGGTAGAGCCTGGTGGGGGAGGGACACAGGCTGCCGGGTCCTGCTGAGATGCTTGGGGGTCGAGGCAAACTACAGTCACAATAATAAATAACAATAGCAATCACAACAATAGACAGTAACAAAAAAATAACATGCTCTGGCAAGTCTTCACAGAACCAACAAGACGTTACAACTTAAATAATTGTCTCCTGGAGGAGCTCACAGTGCAGCGAGGACAGGGCTGCCATCCCGGGCACAGGGGGCCACCTGGTCCATCACCTCCCCAGCCCAGGCTCCTGCGCAGGCCCCGCCTCGGCAGGTTTGTTCGGCGATGCCCTGAGTGACAGGCAGGTTCTGATTTCCCCGGGGGCCTGCTCTTCCAAGCAGCCTCTCCCTCTACCTCCACTCCCAGCTTCTGGGATCTGTCCGAGGGTCATCGTGGTCCCTCAACATTGCAAGTTAAGTGCACCTCGAGGGTGTATCCCGGCAGGAGGCCCCGCTCACATGTGGACCCTGCTGCAAACACAAGGTCAGGCACCACCTACAAGGTCACCGAGAGCACCAAGATGCATTTCCCATGAGCAAGATGGCTTCTCTTCGGGGCTCTCTGCTCACTTGGAAGTGGATTCAAAGGTCAGTGTTGGAGGTATGAAAATCTCCCCTGGGGCCAGCATCACGCTGGTCCCCTGGCCTTGGAAAGACTGTGAGGCTGGACACAGGAGTGTTAAGAAGTACAAGCTAACGGGCCCTTGGGCAGCGAGGCAGGTGCGGCGGATGGAGCGGGAAGGGTCCGCATCCAGGGCGCCCTCCTGTGCCCCAGCAGCCTGGGAGTGAGGTGGACGGATGGGCTGTGCTCGATCAGCCGTGCTGCAGGCAAAACCGCTGGCCCGGCTGTCTCCCCTCCCGTCTTTGAGCTTCCCTTTATTTACATTTCCCAAACCACCCTGGACTAGTTCCTGCCCTGGTGAGAATGACAAGAGCCAGGGATACCTCCTGCACCACCATCCCTTTCCCCAGAGAGCACCACACAGCCGTGACCTTCAGCCCTGACCCACAAGTCCTGGGAGTTGGGGACGACCCTCTCAAGCATCAAGTTCGGTCCCACAGTTATCTG